TGACATTTTAATGGTTTGAGTCTTATTTAAGATTTCATTTAAAAAACTCAAATGATCATGACCTTTCACTAAATTTTAGATAATGAAATCCATCAACTACCACCAACCAAGGAGTTCAAATGAATGAAAGATTCAAATTAATTATAGGTTTGAAATTCCATCTTTAGTTGTCAAGATTAAGTTTTGTAGTATGTAATCTAATCACTATCCATTTCCTTTCTTATCACAGTTTATGATACTGGATAAACTTTATCCAGTTACTTTGTTCTAAACATAGTTTTTCTATTAGTTACATTGTTATTACTAGGTTTCTTTTTGTACGTTTCTTATTACTTTCATAATCTGCTAGCATTTATGAGGTCATTAATCTCATCTGTACCACTTCCCACTCCCAGTTTGTGGTACTGGATAGTATCTATTAAGTAACTTTGTTCCAAATATAATTTTTAATATTATATATATAGTTATAAGGTAAACATTAAGTTTTGTTGTATCAAGGAATCCATCCCTCTGATCTTAGCGCTATTGTTTAAACTATGTTGGTGTTAGAACCTAGGTTTTCTGCTCCCTTGCTTACTAGGGATGAGCATCGATAATCAATCTTTAAAATCTTTATAAAACATCGATGTTATTCGTGTTGTATTAGTTAAATGTACTGAATTGTATTAGTTTCAGTGAATATTTCAATGATGGTCTGAACAAGAATTATTGTATTCATTCCATTGAAAGTGTGGGGGGAAATCAAATCCAAAACTATTAAAACTAAACTAGACTTAGGCAAGCGTATGGTGAAAGAGAAATGTGCAAGTGCTTTTCCCGAATGATGCTAAAAATCAAATCTTTTGTAATAAATTTTAATGGCAGAATTTGTACTCCTGCATAATCAATTAAGACTGATATTCTTGTAATGTTATAGAGAAACTGTCTAGTGTTATAACTATCTGTGTGTTATAGAATTTATAGCTAGTAGTTGGGTTAGTTAGTTGAGGTAAAAAGCAGACGAAATCGATGTTTTCACAACAATGTTATCCATACATTGATGGTTGACCTACTTTATCCCTAGTGAGTACGATCCCTCTCAAAATTATTCAGCATTTGCTATCCAACCACTGAAAATTGGGGTTTGAACTAAATATTGCAATGTGATTGTTTTTGTCAGTTTCAACTAGGCCCTATTTACATTATAGCTATTCCAAGTACCAGTATTATCAGCATTACCAATATAAATCCAAAAGCTTTAGGCCCAATTTTATCCCAAAATGAATGAGGGATGAGCGTGAAATGCCTTGTTTACCTTTGTTACTAACTAAGACAAGTTGGTGATGTTTTGTGGGCTTCACTCATTTTAATTTTTTCCTGGTGACTCCTGAAGAGTCTTCAGATTCATTGAAAACACACTCACATACACACAATCGTCCTGGAAAATCAAGTCCTTTCTTTCGCCAGGACCATGTAATAAAATCCTAATGAAACGGATTTTACGCCATTATGGCTCATTTTCAAACTATCAAAGTCACAGACTTTCTCTCAGAATTAAACTGGCAAGCACTGTAACCACTCAGTTATCCAGCATCTGTCGTCTGCAGGTATTCTCCCTCGAGCTGGAGAAGAAGCAAGGAAAGGTGTGGGTGCCTCATGATGCCAACGACGTCCAGCTGGAGTTTGTCCGCATTGACCCGTTTGTCCGCACTACGATGGTCCGCAAGGCTCCTGGCAAGTACGAGGCTGTGTTCAAGATCCCGGACGTCTACGGAGTGTATCAGTTCAAGGTCAACTACCACCGCATCGGCTACACCTCGTTGTATAGCTCGACTCAGGTGCGTTTAAATTGTATTTGATTTTCATTGGTCAATTTAAAATTAAGGTAGTTATCCTCACCAACCATTTTTCTCCATTCTTTTCTATTTGCTGCATTTTCTGTTGCCCCTAGATGATGATACTCATTCTTCTATCCCCATACTTTGTGCTCTAAATAGAAAACTCCTTCCCAGTGAGGATTAAAGGGTAACCAATATACTACTAGGGCCGCCAACTGATCGGAGTGAACACAGATGCAAACAAATAATCTTAGTTCTAAATGAATGATTACGTCATGACAAACTTTTAACAAACTATAGGCCTACAATACTTCATCATATTATGAGAACCTAATTCATTTTAAACCAGCCGTTCAAAGCAATCTTCTTGTGTCTTTCTTTATCCTTAATTTGATTTGAACAAGCTCTGGACTCTCTGTAACGCTACATAAGCGAAGCCGAGAGGAAATTCTTATTTGCCCAGGACTACAGCTTGATATAAAGTGCATACTTGGTGATCAAACAAGAATCCATTTATTTTTACATCTTCTCAACCACTTGCTCTATAGACTCCTATTCCTTATATTTGTTGTTTAATATTCTCCGTCATATTTATGTAAAATTGGTTAAACCTAACAATGTTTCTAATAGTCTATTTAGATTAACGTAAGTCCCAATAAACTATCTCAGTAAAAATGTCTAAGAGAAAATAAATTTATACATACTTCAATCTACAGGATGTTCAACTATTCTCTTTGTATAAAGAAGTGTCTCTACCCTCTACCTAAAGTCAGGACCACGTAAGTTTGAAGTTGGTGGCAGCCAATCACAAAACAAGGCTAGTGCGACGTTTTGACACACACCGGTTGACCGGTTGACAACACTTACTAAAATATACTAAGCAATATTTTCAAATCAGCTGGTATTATAAGATTTGGCAACACCGCACGGTTCGCATTGGTTCATTCAAAACCATATGGTAAATAGGCTCCTCCCTCAACTGCCAACTTATGTGGTCCCGACTTTAGTTCATATAGATGGAATGTCTACTTCAGTATCCAACAGTCAATGCTTATATGTATGGTTAAAAAAAATTGCTGTTGACTTTTGTGTGTTCAGGTCTCTGTGCGTCCTCTGGAACACACTCAGTACGAGAGGTTCATTGCCAGTGCGTACCCGTACTACGCTAGTGCGTTCTCTATGATGGGTGGAGTGTTCTTGTTTAGCATCGTCTTCCTTCACTACAGAGAAGACACTAAGACAAAGAGCGAGTGAAGACTGACTCTTACCAAAACAAAATTGTTTGATGTGATTAGTGTAGTTAAATAAAGACATTTTTTGTATTGAGGTTGTGTTTTCTGTTTTCTAGGGTTGTATACCATGAATAATGAAAAATATATAACTTTCTTTAAACTAAAAGGATTTTTAGTGAGGATAGCGATTTTATCTTATTAGAAATTAATCCGAACACGCAACATTACAATATTTTATTGTCGCTAACAGTATTTTCCTCCTTAATACTCTATTTTGTTTATACCGTTGAAGTTTTGGATTGGTTGTGCCAGTTCAGACTCACCATTTAGGTAAGCCCGCTATGCTCACTAAAAGTCCTAAAACTCTAGGCCTTTGTGCACTATGTTACATCCTTATACAACAAGGTCGACATTAGGGTTTGGATCATTCCCATACAAAATAATTACAGTGCATTTATATCCCTGCAGTGCCACCAGTATCAGTGCTATCTACGCCAGGGTTATGTGAAACATCTGTTATGGGCTAAGCCTCTTAAAGTAAAAAAAATTTGTGTGCAACAAAAAATGGGTAGAACACATATTTCTCCAGCACTTTTTTTTTCCTCGTGTCTACGCCAGTGGCATTTTTTAAATGATGTCAAACACTTTTAAGGGAAAGCGGTCCAAACCCATTAAAGTTTTGTGGATGTGCCGGGGATTGAACCCGTCCCTCCCGCACCGAAGTCCGAGACGCTAACCACTAGGCTAGCAACACACCCACTTGCTCGTTGATCCTTGTTGCTGACTCTTTACGTTAACGAACAACCTTAACCACAGTATAAACTTGTGGAAGAAACACCCAAAAAATATGTAATCAAAATTTGTACCAAAATGCCATAGGCCTCTTATTTGAAATTGTTTAAGAAAGTTCTTTATGTGAGGACTGTTTTATTTAGAACGAAGGGATATCAGTAGGGTCTTTGTTATTGTAGGTTGTGATTCCTTCCACCTTCGGTGTTAACTTTTTCAAGCATATTTTTTCTCCTCCTTCCACAACCTATAAGGACTACTACTGATGAAGAACTCCAAAAATTATGTGTTTATTCGTGTTTCGTAAGCAAGGTAAGCCTAATTATTACACAATTCAAAAATGGCATAACCTTAAAAAAAGGTTAGGTAGGCCTCGTAAAAAAAACCATAGTAACTATTACTCATGGATACAAACCTTTTGTCCAGGCTGACAAAGTCCTTCAGAAGACAAAATTAAATAACAGTGCTTTGTGCCTTCCATGTGTATGGACTACATACCTAAACCTTTTCTGTGAGCCAGCCAAAAGCAGCTATACCTTAATTTTCTATTCTAAAATCACACCTCTTCCAAATAGAGGTGTATTTGTATACAAATACAAAACAATTATGTTTTAGTTGTTTGACCATTGGGAATGAATAAAAATATAGGATTGAGGTTGGGTTCACGTTGCATCGGGTTGGTACGGTCAGGGAAACCCTGGAAAAGTCAGGGAATTTTGTTGGTCTGGAAAAGTCAGGGAATCATGAAAAAATTCTGGAATTTCTCCTGAAAAACTATCTTTTTACAGATATGCTAGATTATTTTGATCTAAACATCTTTTTGTCAGGGAAATGACTAGTGAAAAAAACGACATCTGCGCTGATGCACATTTTTATATCGATAGTTATCGGCACGGGGGAGGTATCGATTTGTATATAGTTTGAAACAAGTTTAGTATTTGGGAGTGATTAAATAAGTTAAATATTTACACTTTTTCTAATATTTCTTGATTTTGATTAGTCGATATCAACTTGCAAAAAGTAGCTTGGAAGTAGTTAGTATTTGGAAGAAATATAATTTCTGTCTGGAAAAGTCAGGGAATTTTATTTTCCAAATTCAGTACCAACCCTGATCAAGTTAAGAAAGTGTGGGAAGGTTAGGGTTAGGAAGAAAACAAGTCAATCATTTTGAATTATATATTTAGGCCTACGAATTTAGCCATATTGAAGTGGTCTATGCAAGAATCTGTCAAACTATCATCAATTCAAACACGTTTCATACAGTGGCTAAGTTTTGTGTCAAGAGTACCATTAGTGAGAGTAAGTACAACATAAACTAAATATTTTTCTAACTATAGATTATTTGTACACGTAATAAATAGTCACATTTCTTATAACTGCATTACTTTAACCCTATTAGCTATGTAAATATTTTATACTGGAATCTAAATCTTTTGGAATCTACTTGTCATACAACACCATCAATATTTTTAAGGAGATGAAGCTTTTCTTCTATAACGATTTTAAACCAAATTCAGAAGTATGATTACTGTTGGGGGAAAAAGTTTAGACACTTGAGTTTGGAGCTCTACAGAAAAGTAACCAAACTAACTTAGAAAAACACGTAGTATATATAAATTTTTGTTGTTTCATTCTACGTATTCCTGTGAAAACAAATTTTTTTTAGCTCATTTAGATTGAAACAACGAAAATTTATATATACTACGTGTTTTTCTAAGTTAGTTTGGTTACTTTTCTGTAGAGCTCCAAACTCGAGTGTCCAAACTTTTTTCCCCGACAGTAGGCCTATATTTAAGAGCTTCTCAACTCATGCAATTAGATTGAATTTGTACTGGTTTTTAGCTTTACACAATATTCGGATCATTGTACATGCTAGACAGTAGAACTTATATGATAACATAAACACTAGGCCTAAATATAATATTTTATAGGTACTCTGTTCAATTTATAGACAAAACTTATAACACAAAAATGTAGTGAATAATCTTTATACAATACAAATAATATTTTGTTTAGAGAAAAATAAGTAACCTAGAATGCTGTACCCAATCATTTACGTAGCTTCTTTTGAATATAAAAAATATACTTTTCATCTCTTGACTTTGTAAACAAACGCAACAAATTTAATCTTTTTAAACTTAGGAGTTCACCTTATCTACAAAAAGTGCACAGTAATACAAAATATAATAACAATAATATAGTTTTTAACTATGATCATATGAGATTTCATTTTTATGTACAAAACGTTCAACATTATGTAAAACAATAAGGGTAAAACACAGACAGCTAATCGTAAAAAATTAGCGCCATGCAATGCTGTGTGTATTTTTAAACCCTAAAACAAGGAACAATATATTTCTCTTGAAGTTATTAACATGTAACAGGAGTATAAAATTATATATTATAGTATTAAAACCGGAATAACATAGCAATGAATAAAAAACTTCTTCATTTCAAACACCATAATAGCAAAATTGATATGCATATAAGCTAAAAAGAACAATTGATTCCCGCAAATAAACTAAATATTAAAAGTATGGTATTCCTTAAGCTTTTTTAAGTTGAAAAATACATATATTGCATTCAGGTATTCTAAATTACATCATATTTAGTGTGCCAGCTTGTAAATTTAATTTTTTGTACACCAATATCTACGTAAGTAAAGATTTAAGTAATATTTTGTATGATTGATAAAAACTTGTACAACAAATAACAAAGCATTGATTACTTTAAGCATAGTTTATTCACTCTTAAACATCAGGGATAATCCAAACGGAAAAAATACACAGTTAAAATTTTACTCCACACATTAAGTAGGCCTACAAAACAAAAGATACATCTTTCATATTAACTTAGTAAATATGAAATCAGTAATTTAATCCCTAAGTATTAGTAAAATAATCCCTATTGCTACAACATGGAATGATGAAATTCAAGTGCAAAATCCAAAAAGAGATCACGATAAAATTTGGTAAAATTAAATTTAATGGAAAACAAAATTGTACGGTTTCTAAAAATCCTATAAGGCTTTTCACGTTACACACATGATTTTGTGTCAGGAAAGGTAATGTTTCCATTGATTTTGAAATCATTAACCCTACTACTAACCCATGATACTACCAATGCACGGAACTTAAGATAATACTCATATCATTTCATATCAGGAAAAAATCAAAAAGTATTTCCTCTAGTGAATAAAATAATATTTTATATAAAAAATAAAAATACTTAAATCTTGATTACACCTTTTAAAATCTTAAGACCAATCACCAACACGCGCTTAAAAACCAAATAGACGTTATAAAAAGAAGCCTAATTAAAACTAAAATAGTAACTCTTCAAAATATCTATGGATTACAGTTATAAAAAATCAACAAAACATGACAAAGCTTTTAATATGATAGTAAGTAGATATCTAGAAATCCTCATCATACACGATTTCTAATATGCTACATACACTTAATGCGATTCTCCACTATGTAATGATAAACTTTTAACATTTCAATACATATTATACAACAAGATAGCGCCAACATATCTACAATATGGGGCTGGTAGGCTAAATGAGGTTTAGAACTGCACCCAACTGGGGTTGCTTGGTGTAACTGGAGCCCTGGAAAAACACAAAGTGATTAATTCAAAATGATTTTTCTACAAATACATATTTTTACTTTCTCTCCCTATACATAGTAGGCTATATGGATAAAGTATTGATTGAGTTTTGGATGGAAATATCCGTTTGGGTCCCTCCTGAAACCAAAAAAGGTGACCTGGAAGTTTTCATTAAGAGTAAGTCTATGTGTGGATGTGTACAGAGAGCTACAGACCGGTATGTTCCGATTTTGATAAAATTTGGTAATGTGATTTTTAATGATTTTCCCATAAAATAACAAACAGATTTTATGTTAATCTGAAAAATATAGATAGAAAACTGATTGAATGATTTTAATAAAAATGTTGTAACAGCCCTTTTAACTCGTTACAAAATGGTATAACCCCCATTGCTGTAAACATTATGGTTCAATAGTTATTGCAACTTTTGTGATTTTCCCAACAAAAAATCCTAGTTACTCCCACCGCTTAACCATGATAAGGGTTGTTGTCAAGCTAACTGGTGAAAGTATGATTGTTGACTAATGCATAATGTGTTGTCTTGAACAAAAGGATATGCGGAAAGACTTGTAAAATCTAACAATACTTACGCTGATGTTGAATTGCCGGCGCTGGCGAATTCGCCCCAAGACTCAGGTTTGGCCGAGGCAGGTTGGTGACAGGGGGAAGAGTTGACGGAGGGTGCGGGAGGTGGAGCAATCTTAACCCCTCCTGGGGGAGGCGGCAATATACCAGCTGATGTCGGCCGTGTCTTTGGTTTGCTGGATACTTCACTCCCGTCCTTTTTCTAAACAAACATACAGTAAAGTGGTTATTGAAACAGGGATATAACTATAGTCCTCGCCACCCTAACTTAAGGCAGCCCAAGGCCGCACGCCGTATATCTAGTGCCCCCTTGGACTGCCTCAAGTTAGGGTGGCAAGGACTATAGTAGGGTTTTTATGCCAGACTTCTATTCAAACTGTTAAGGATTATGACCGTAGTAAAAATTACAAAAATTTTCTTTCCTGGGAAATCTTTTTTAAGAGGGTTTCAGCTGGCGTACTTGAGAAAATTAGAGTCCAGGGCTAACAAGTACACAAATAAAAGAGCGCTGATATTTGGTCCTAACAAATACCATTTTCAGAGAATGGATTTTATTAACCCCTGGATTTTTCCAATAGTACTAGGCCTATATGTTGAAGGTGAGCCTTCCCACATTGGACATTTTACGACTAAACCACTGCATGTTTAAGGTATATTTTCTGTACATTTTACTCAAGTACAACAACCTACATCATGCCATATCATGATAGCCTCTTTTCATACTGTAAGAGTAAAAGTATTGGGTTACTTTCATACTGTAAAAGTACTGGGATATTTGTCTAATGGATTCAAATTTTCAAATTGCAGAAAAAAAGATAGCGCTAACTTTTTTTCCTGCAATTAACCTAGCACAACGGTTAGTATCTAGCCTACAAGATATCAACCATTGCTCTTCATGTCCATTGACAAAATATATTGTAATTTATGTAAACTATTAAATGGTGAATACATTTCTAAATTGTCTCATAAGAAAACAATAATTTCTAACTCTGCAATAACTGCATCTTGTATAGAGTAGTAATTATCAATCCAAAAAAAGGCTAATCTTTGTTCTTCAAATTTGAGGCCAAAACAACATGCTCATTACAAAGTAGTAGGCTTGAGCTTAAAATATAAATAACTCACGGTAATCTTCATATTGATTTTTATCGTCTCTCCTTCCTTAAAACGCAAATCTAGTTCGGGTTTTGGCGTTTCTTTTTCTTTCTCAATTTCTTCTTCTTTCTTGACCCATTTAAAGTGATCTTGAAGGGCAACATTCAGGTCAAAACTGTCAGATCTGTCAGAAAACCCAACCCCAATAAATGCAGTTCGACCTGAAAAAAAAACATTTGAGAATGTATGATTAAAAATAACAATAAGTTCTTCTGAAATCGATAAGCTTATGATCTATTTTTGACATTCAACTATTACGACTTTGTGAGATTAAGATGCTAAACTAACCACTAGGTATGCTTAAATTAGGCCTACATACTATCTCATAGAACTTGTTGAGGTTTGGTTTAATTTTAAGTAGGCCTACCGGTACCGATAGCCTATGTAAATTTTACTAGAAAATTGGGAAAACCTTACCGGTACTTAATCATTAGCTTAGCCTACATTTAAAATGTCTGTTTATACTTTTAGTTGGTTAAATAAGTACAATGTCAATACCACTGCTGAAATAAGTAAGCCGATTAATTTTTTTCAAGTACCGGTAGTCTACATCATTGAAGTTTTTTCATAAACACTTTTGACAATCATATATATATTGATATTGACTCATTTATGAGTGAAGAAATTGGATGAATCTTAAGTACCGTACCTGGTATTTTATCTGGTATTTTTTGTCAATTTCGCTTTTATCCGTTCTTGACTGATGTGGGTACTTTCCCGTTAAAAGGGAACATTCATTATTATCGATTTGATTTCTTTTAATGTAGGCTATCGATATTTTTGATTTCCTTTATAACCCATTCCTTCTGTTTTGAGTTTTTTTAATATCTTCAAACACTGACAACTGATCTTCTTTATGCAAAAATAATATATTAAGTTATGTGGATTCAGAAATACAACTGTTCTAAACTAACCTAACATAATCAACCAAACTTGCTGTACCATTTCAAAATTTTGTTTGATAACAGAAAAGGCATGTGGGTAATATGAAACGGAATTTGGAAATGTTACAGCAAGTTTGGTTCGTTAGGTAAGGTTACTTTAGAACAGTTTTATTTCAATATAATATAAAATTTTAAATTGTTTGTTGATAAGTAACTTACTGAACAATATTTATTTATCGTAGTTGTCAGCTGATATTTCGTTCATTAATATCGGTATATCGGATCAAAAAATAAAATATTGATTAATCGAAAAGAAATCAAATCAATAAATAATGAATGCTCCCTTTAACAGGAAAGTACCCTGGTGAACCAACATGACCAGAGGCGCTCTTTCCCCCCCCCCCCCCAGGTCAGAACCAGAGCCAGCTGTAGGAAAGGTACAACCGCACAGGGCCCAACACCTCAGCTCGCTCCAAAATACAACACAATTTGTACAACTATGTCAAATAACATCCCCTCCAAAATAATAGAGGCGCAAGTGTGCTGCTGCGCAGAAATTGAATGATAAGTTAGGGGATGTCGCCACTCACAAGTGAGCGTTCAGGGTGGCAGAAAGGAGCTAGAGCACTCACCAGTGAGTGGCCCACAGCGAAGGGAACGTTTTAAACGGATAGGTAAAACCTGTAGGCTGTAGGCCTATTATTGTCATAGGGAGTGTGAGGAAAGAAATCTAAATAGCCTATGTTGTTTTGAGGTTTTCATATAGGTAGGCCTACTTTCTACAATGCGGTTTCAAAGAAAATATATTTGCCTCATTGGCCAACGAAATAAGCTGGCCTTATTTATTTTCTTCAGGATACAATACTCAGCCTAGGACCCCCTAGCTCAGTTCCTACTTGATGGAAAACATGTTTTAAAAATATGCTAGGTAGAATGGGAAAGTAAAAAATCAAGTAGGCAATAAAAAGAATTGGAAAGAACCATTGCATTTGTAGGCTAGCTTAATAAAGGAAACATTTTCTGATAATCTTTGTTTATAAAATCCAAATATGGATGAAGGAACGCACCATTATTGTCATCCACAATGCGAAGAACGAAGTAGCGCGACGAGTCTGATACTGCTTCAACTGCAAGGCCTGGATACTTGTCTATTGGGCACTTTGCAAATAACTCTCCAGAAGTCTTATCTTCCAGTTTCAATATGCAATCTGTGCCTTTTGTTACCAAACGCATTCTTCCTGTCCACTGAGGCTCAGCTAAATTCCAGTCAGCAGCTCTGTACGCTCTGTTGGTGGCCCTAGGTGGGAGTTTAAAAACAAAAACTTCATTTTTTACTAAGAGAACACTTTCGTATGCATCCATTCTTCAACGAATGTTTATAATATTAAATAAATCTGAAATGGCAAGTCCAGGAAATCTCAATTGAAATTTGACATCGACTGTCGACTCACTCTGCTGACTGATCAACTCACTGACAAGTGACAGTGACAAGAACAAGACAACTCAACTGACAAGCTGACGCTGGCTGGCTGGCAAATGACATTGGCAGCTGCAGACAGACCACATAGCAGCACAGCTGATAACAAAATTTCGTTGCAGAGAGGTGTTCGGTGGGGCACACGGAAGATTTCTCAGGTGCCGTTTGACGTCACTAACTGCTGACGTCACTAACTGCTGCGTCTGAAGAAACAATTTTATAATTTTCTATTATTAATAAACTGTCATAACCTAACCAAACGTGCTGATAATGGAAAAATCGAATAAAGGTTTACTAATCTAAAAAATAGTTTTGTTCATAAAACAAAATTATAATTGTCTAAAATTCAATTTTATAATTTTTTTATTATAAAATTAAACTGTCATAACCTAACCAAACTTGCTAATGTGAAAAAATTGTTGATAAAAAGATAGTGCCGCCGGCGGGATTTGAACCCGGAAAATTCGGATTATCAGCCAGCAACGCTATCCACTGCGCCACCGAGGCCGATGGCTCAAAACTGTATCGTTGCTGTATTGGTGTTCCCTCAAAGTGATGTCAGCAGTTGGTGACGTCAAACGGCACCTGAGAAATCTTCCGTGTGCCGTTTCGGAGAGGTGTTAAGAAAGTGTTATATATAAACATGGATAAAATAAATATTGACTTTTGATCGTAGATTGACTAATTCTTCAAAGAGCCTACTAATCCATGAGAGAGTATTTTGATGACAAATGGTTGAGTGCACATCATCTCCGTAGTCACCCACCAAGTTTTTTTTTTAATTTTTATCTATGAAACTTTAAAAAAAATTCCCTTGAAAGATACCTACAAGTTTTAATTTGTTGTTGTAAATAATTGATATTTATATTTAAAAATTGACGCAGTTTATCCAGCTATGCTGGTCATTACGCAGCTTTAGTAATGACTTTGGATATTGCAAGCAGTTTTTGCATTCAATAAATAATTGCGAAATCTAATACACATATGAATGTGAATTTCAAAATTTGAAAACTGATTTAATTAGTTTCAGTTCCATTTCAGTGCGTTGATGTGAAATAAGTGTTTCACCCTGTTTTAGAGAACTTTTTATGACGGATAAAACATACATATGGATTTTTTATATAATGTTTTATTATTATGTATTAAAAAATATATCGTAACCTTACCAATACATTTGGTTGTTTTAATGCGATTAAAATTTAAATAATTTAATTAATATGGATCTGTAAGGTCAATTCTTTTGTTAGAATTGAATCGTGTAATTAATAAAAATCTGTCGTATAAAAATTACACACTCGCATTCTTCAATCTTCCACATGATTTTTTTTTAGAAAGAGAAAGCCAAAATAAAAAACGTCATACATAATATACTTATTTTCTCCTCCCTCCCTGTGCCTGGGAGCTAAAGCTAAATAGGTGTGTAAGAATGTGAGTGAGAGTTAATAAATCACTTAAATTTCATGTGGCATTTTTGAAACATATGAGTGTCAGATAGAAAGTTTTGTTTACTTTTGGAATTTGTACGAGTACGAGTTCATTTCTCGTGGTGGGCTAAATTTGAAACTCAGTCTTGTGATTTAATCGTTTGTACAAACGTAAGTTATTTGTCAGTTCTTGAATTTAAGTATTTGCAAATTATTATTTGTTAAGTAACTTGGTTCTAAACTTATTTTCAATCTTTTGTAAGCTAAGTTAGGGCCTGCCTACTTAAATGACCCTGTCTTGGTCTATTATTTATTGTTGCTAGGCCTAGTTGAGATATTAGGCCTAGGTATACCTTTTACCAAATCCTACATTATAGAAGTAAAGGTCTAATAATAATATTATAGGCTACTAAAACACAGCAATGATCAAGTAGCCTAACATAGCAACGTAGGTGGTCATTTCAAAATATTTAGGCTAGATTATTCCTAGGCTTTCTAATTGTTTTTAATTAGAATAAGAATAAGAAAGTTTATTGCCATTGACCAAGTTGTACATAGGAATAGGCATTGTCAAATTACATTTAATAAAATATCACTAAACATGTTACTTTACTTACTTAGTTACTTACTTAGTCGTTAACTACATCCTAGTTGAGATTCTTTGTGATGCTTATTTACTATGCCCAACTCACTGCAAACATTCTAAAATTACATTTAAACTATTACTTTTCTCAGCACTCGTCATCAAAAGCCTGTGGTAAGTTAAGCCATAATCAGGTATAAGTTAACTCGTTTACTTGTAGGCCTAATTGTGTTTGTGGACTCACAGACATGTATAAAGTGTTTTTGGCCTATAGGGACACCAAAATTGAAAAATAAATTCCTTCTGGGCCTAGGTCTTACTGTGCTAACTTACCTAAGGTATATGATAATTAGTTTCTTCTTTAGCTAGGCCTACAGGAAAAATTTCCTACCGGTAATGATACTGTGGGGACTATATTTTTGGACCTTTTAAAATAAATTATGTTGAAAGCTAAACTTTATTTTTAATGGCTCTAGATCTACTGTGAAATGTCAAGAAATTATCTATGATGAAGAAAAAAGAGAGAGAGTTAAAGCCATGTTTACACCTGAGCTAGGAACACATTCCTAAAAGCCAAGAAACACGATTTTTTTAACAGAAACATTTTGATGTTGGAAACAGTTTTTTAGTGTTTGCAACATAAATTTTGTTTCCCACTGGAAGTTGGTAAAGACCAAAGGGTTGGATCAAATGTTCCTGTACTTCAACGCTGTTTACAACACTTCCTCGCTACCCCCCGTGCCTACTGGCCACCACGTGACTACGCCGCGTGCCCCCCCCCCCTCCCCCCAATGAGGACTGACCTGACCTGACCTGTTCTCGGGAACGGTGATTTAATTGTTTCCCAAAAACCAAAGAAAAGTACCTACACTGTCTGTTGTAAACTTTTCTTTTAGAAACGAGTGTTTTGACAAAAACTTTCAAACATTTTGTTAAAACTCCAGTGTAAACACGGCTGACAGAAACATCATTAGACTAAAAGAAATAAGTATTAGCCTACTTATTTCATTCTTGAAAAGACTTTTATTGTTTTGTAATGTATAAAGCATATTAACTTAAGTTAATATTAGTTAGTTAAAAAGTTTAACCAAAAATATGGGTTAATTCGTCCATTATATAATTTTCACGTCAATACGTAAATCGATTATTACACAAACATTGAGTTAGGCTACTCAATGTTTGTAAACTAAAGTTGTTTAATAAATTATTAAGTTACTTTCTGATTAAATTAGATAAGCTTAATTTATTGCTAACTTTAGATAACATCCAAATATTTTTAAATAATAGGCTATTCTTATGATTGAAGTATATAGGCTAGTTAACTTACTTGAAACAATCAATTACCGTAGTGAAATGTGTTATTGATATTATAGTATTATGGTTTACACATTAATCTAAGCTTTGTTGTTTTCAACAGGTGAGGACTGTTTTTAGATATATTATGGAACAGAAATCGATCAACCATGCATGAGCTATTTACTCAAGTTCTAAGCAAGAAAGATCTGTCTAAGGTAGGCATTATTTAGTCTAAGGTAGCCTAAAGTTTAAATTGTCAAAGAGACCTTATGTCAACAATACTTTACAATATTTATTGTATATTTATTGTTATAGTTACAGTTGTTTTAGTACTTTTGTGGACTATTAAAAACTATTATATCAACTATCATGATTTGCTGTAAAATGGTGTACCGTACCGTAACCGTTGAGAGGAAATAAATAAATTGTCAAGAATTTGAAAGTTCAAGAATCTGTTAACCCTCCGAGCGTCACTTGTCGATTTTTCGACACACGAACATCGTTTATGGCGAAGGCTCTATGACTGACTGAATCGGATTGAACTGGATCGAGTTAGGTATCGTTCTTTTTGTTAGATTCAGAGCTTTCTCCGGAGGTCTGTCTCTAAGTGCTATTCATTTTAGTTCCGAAAATATTGTAGCAGACAGCTGATGTGCGTATTTGTAAACAGCTTTGTTAACCTCGGACCGATGACTGATGTGTTTTATTACGTTTATCATTGTTTTAGTTTTAAAAATCAAAAGTAGTAATATACGTGGTGCATTATAAGAAGATTTAAGTGATTTTGAAGGGCTGGTTGATGATCCTGAAGAAGTAGGTAGTGATATTGATGTAAATTATCAGCCAGATTCCTAGCTATGGTTAGGCTATGCATTCTTAGCTAAACGCTATGTACTGAAATCAGTTTTTGCCCATAACTTATTTATTTGCAAATCTACTTCCTTATATCTATATATATAAAAGGCAAAGCCCTCACTGACTGACTGACTGACTGACTGACTGACTGACTCACTCACTCACTCATCACTAATTCTCCCACTTCCCACTTACCTAAGAGGCTGAAATTTGGTACACTGATTCTTTAGGCATTAAATAGGAAAACTAAGTGGTTTTTATTCTGATCGGACTCTCGGGCTCCGCCCCAGTGGCTCTGGAGTTTCCCATGGTAACCTAATGAGTACTCATATTTAAATGGAATTAATGAATCATAACAGCTGTTTCAATTAAACAAGTTGGTTGTGTTCTATTATGTTCAATAGCATTAAAGTTACAAGGATTACCAACAGAGTGCAGCACTATTATTTTTTTAATATTTGACAACAGCTAATTTGAAACCAAAAGGTGAGTGAGCGTAGCGAACGAGCTAACCTGAAAGCAATTGAGCGCAGCGAACGAGCTCCAACCGTAAAGGTGAGTGAGCGTAGCGAACGAACTGCAACAAGACGTGTGAGCGCAGCGAACGAGCTCCAACCTAAAGGTGAGTGAGCGTAGCGAACGAACTTCAACCAGGACGTGATTGAGCCACGCGAACGAGCTCACATATGAAGTTAAACGGGGCAAAGCCCGCGGGTACAGCTAGTTATTATATATTTGTAATCCTCATAAAATTTAGAACAAAGTGGCTATTTTCAAATATTTATAGGCCTATAATTTATACAATTTCATTGAGCGCGAACTTATTTTTTTTTTTGAAAATTTTCCAAAATATTTTTTTTTACCTACAAAATTTTTTTGAAACAAATGTTCCTTATGTTTTATGTATATAATATTGAAGCCCATGATTTTCCAAACAAAATGGTATATAGAACAGTAGAATTAACATTGTTTTAAGCTTCTCAGATCCGTTTTAATAAAACCTTGCAAAAGCGCCAAAAATAGGCGGACATTAAGGCCTAAACTATGGACACTCGGAGGGTTGGATCCTATTTAAATTAGGTTTACATCATTATTTTTATGAGATAAAGACACTACCTATATAACTTATCTGTTCCTGAGTTGTAGAAAGGGATGATAATGGTTTGATGACTATCCTGTTGTAAAATTATGTTGTAAATTAAATTGTTTTTATGTATCGTTTCTTGTCCAGTTACGTTTTAGTGTGCTTGATAAATTGTGACTACATTGCAGGCTGGAGATCTGTTTTCCTTGGCTGACCAATCTATAGTCAATGATTTGACGGAGGTAATCAATGCCATCGCTGAGATAACCAGTCTTCCAGACTACGTCAACAACAACAATGATCAGAGCGTCGTGGAGATCTGTATTACAAAGGCTACTTCGGCCATCAGGTGGGTGTATGTCCGTCGAATATAAATAGTTCGCCGATTCCTTACAGTATTTGAGAAAAAAGTTTCTATTAAATTTCTGAACGGGAAGAGTTAAAAAACAATATACCAGAGTCTCGGCAATCTAAATCCCATTGGTCCGATCATCCGCCTAATCCTTACCACCTGGGGCTAGGGTAAAAAGGCTAATAGGTTTATTTGAAAACTAAGCTATGTTCTGAAATAATAATCAGGGTGACCAGGCAATTGAGAAAACTGGGAATTGTAAGTTAATTTTGAATGGAATAATTTGTCTTTATTATTATCATCATCATCATCATCATCAATTGAGATGGGGACGCCGCTTAGGTGTGTATTTTAACCCATGAATTATAAGAATGAGTATAGAATGTAGTGAGATGATCTGTGTAGCTTTGCTACTAACTAAGATCAGCATATGGCCGAGGAACAGCTTTCTGTTAATTTGAACGATTTAGTAATCCATACAGCGTCTGGTCCCAACCAGTGATCATTAGTAGGACTCTGGTGAAAATCTTAACCAATCGTACTAGAATTATAGAAAAAAACACTCCACTGCCAAATTTTTACTAGGCCTAATTCAAACAGTGTTTCACTTATAATTAGTTTGGGTTTGCTTGACATTACTGCGTATATTAGGCTTACTTAAATCTTGACAAAATTTGTTTTTGAAAAAAGTTAGTGATCAGTTGTATTAGGTTCGGTACTACAGTATAATAATTTAATTGGATTTATTTATTAATGTATTTTCTTTCTCTAGGGAGACAGGATCCATTGAGCAACATGCCGATGCTTTGGTAGCTTTGTTAGAGTCATGTCTGAACTACAATTTGAAGCCATCAGCCAAAGACGAAGATCCACCTCATGCAAAAATCTCATCGGACATCATATCATGTATATTTTTAGTAAGTTCATTTTGCATTTCTTTAGTGTGGAGTAAATAATAAAATAAAACTTAAATACATTTTAAAGCTGCATATTATCCAATAAGGTTAATTAACGTATAACACAAGGTTTAAAATAGGTAGAATTTCACACTTAATCGGGTGGGCTACTTTATAGGTTCACCCAAAATTTTACTTTGAACACCTATCCCAGAAATTAAACTCAAGACTTTCTTAAAAAAAAAAACAAATTAGGCTATTCACAATATTTGAACGAAAATAAAAATATTAATTTTGAAAAATAAAAGTAGCTTGGAGATATTGAATCATTTCTTTTGATACAAACCCCAACTTGGAAAACACCTTATAATTCTACCTACCGCATCTCACAAATTTTACCAAGATCAAATAGGCTACTCTAACGTAGGTAGCCTACTTAAAATAACAGCCTTTTGTAGGTCAGAACAACAAATCAGTGTTTAACAAAAGCTCAATATAGCAAAACACTTTCTTTTTACAATAGAAACAAAGGCTTAACCTTTCTCAATGTTTACAACGGTAGAGTTACTTGAGCATAAATGGCCATGGGAGTAAGTAAGTAAGATTTACAAAGTTTCCAGAATTTTCAGTACACATTCAGTATATTTGCTGGTAAAAATGTGTTTTGCAGCATTGACACTTCTTCTAGAGAAAGTCAGAAGTCGAGCCTTGTATTCATTGTCACCAAGCTTGAATAGGCCTAGACAAATGAAAGTAATTATAGCCTACATGTTTGTCAAAGTTTAAACAGTTGTTCTTCAACCACATAAAATTTTACATAACTTTGAATGTTAACAGAATTACAACAAGAAAGAGGTGATGAAGAGGGCGTTGCCTGTCGCAGTCAAGTTCTTGCACAAAGGCAACCGCGAGTTGTCCCGCAACATGGCTCCATACCTTTCACTGGCAGCCATTGACAATGCTGACCTTCTGTCCAAACACATTCAGCTGATCATCGACTCCATCATATCAGGTCAGTTCATCCCAACTATACGGACCAGCTGTAGCCAATATTGTATGAAAATAGAACAAATAAAAAGGTTGAGTTACCTGCTATTGCCTTGTGGTCCAAGTGTTGTCCTTGGATTATGCACATAAATGGATGATTTCGGTGTGAACACCTTGCCCAAAAACACCAGACAACAAAAATGAAGTAAAATAGAACAGCTGAATGAGTCACTCAAGGAGTGTCCCTGTCAAGCTTCTATTTTATCCCTTTGTTTTTTACTGTAATTGAAGTGACATAAAATATGCTTTTTTTAGTGGGTTGTCCTTTCAGTTTCGCGGGGTCTTAAATTTTGCGTACTCAACAGAAATTTGTAATTTATCAGGTTACTGTGGGTGGCTTAATCAAACTATGTTATTTTTTTACTTGCAAAAGATTTTAGACGGGATGAAATCATGAAATGTCTACTTTACTAGTCAAAGGTTGTGGTCATGTAATGATGACCTCATGTAATGATGTCATGTAGCTGATAAATATAATAGACATTCGTTCTACAAAAAGTTGTTCAACATATTGCTAACATTGTTCCTGACAATGTCCTGAAATTGCTGTTACGGTTCTGGTTCGTAACTGTCTTCATTGCCCGTCATTGCTCAAAATACTCCTGGCATTTTCCTGTTATTGTTGTTGAGATTCTTCCTGATATTGTTCCTGACATCGTTGCTGATCACTGGTTGCAGGTAACTACCCACTATGCCGTGTGTTGCCTCAGATCTACGCAGTTGCCAAGGAGCCGATCCACGACCACGCGATGGCTCTTGTCTCACTCTTGCCGCAGTGTGATCTCTCTGATAAGTTGGCGCTTCTGCAACTCTTTGCGCACATTGCAGACAACAAGCCTTCGGTGAGTAAACGCCACAGTGTTCCTTTAGGCTTTGACTCCTCTATACCACCAATGTTAAATGTTTTTATTTGATTTGAATATCTATATATATAAAAGGCAAAGCCCTCACTGACTCACTGACTGACTCACTCACTCATCACTAATTCTCTTACTTCCCATTTACCTAGGAGGCTGAAATTTGGTACACTGATTCTTTAGGCATTAAATAGGAAAACTAAGTAGTTTTGATTCTGATCGGACTCTCGGGCTCCACCCCAGTGGCTCTGGAGTTTCCCATGTTAACCTTATGAGTACTCATATTTAAATGGAATTAATGAATCTTAACAGCTGTTTCAATTAAACAAGTTGGTTCTGTTCTATGATGTTCAATAGCATTAAAGGTACAAGGATTACCAACAGGGTGCAGCACTATTTTTTTAAATTTATGACAACAGCTAATTTGCAACCCAAAGGTGAGTGAGCGTAGCGAACGAGCTAACCTGAAGGCAAGTGAACGCAGCGAACGAGCTCCAACGTAAAGGTGAGTGAGAGTAGCGAACGAACTTCAACCAGGACGTGCGAACGAGCTCACTTATGAAGTTAAACGGGGCAAAGCCCGAGGGTACAGCTAGTTTAATATAAATAAAAGTACAAGGTCTGCACATTTCAAAGAATTATGTTTCATAGCTTAATAAAGTTGAATAGAGTTTCATCTCAATGCCTGTCACACCTAGGCAATGATTTTGCTTAGGTTGCTTTAGGTAAAACTAGAGCATCAATCAAGGTTAAACATTTTCCCTTCATTCTCTAAATATTTGAGAATGCCTTTTGCTATTTAACCTTGGCCTAACTTATTTGCAAATAAAATTAATGAATGTTCAAAACAGTATTGCACAATACTGGACACTAGAGTTGTGCAAGCCCTTTTAATATCAAGCTGAACCGAGCCTAGCCTAAAAGCTGGAGTGATTGAGCACCAAGTGAGAAAATCAATCTTGATCCAAGCTTTTCTATCAAGATCGCAGAATCTGTCTATGAATATGAAGAATTCATCTTAAAGAAGATTGAAAAAACAATGCTTTTGGCATCGATTCAGAATTGATGGCGGTTTGGGGGAAAATTCACTTTCAGTGGTCAAGACTTACGGCAGACTATAATGATTTCTAAAGAACTGTAGGAGATGTTCAGAATTTTACCACATTCACAGAAAACAATCATGATCTTTGTGTTAATACGAGAGATGTCCAGGGTAAAGCAACTCGTCTTTAATATAGCAGCCTAAGTTATTGCTCCGTTGTATTCAATTTTTTAAATTTTGCCAACATATTGATCGTAGCAAGATAAAGGGGTGTAAGCTACATATGGACTTACGCTCTTCGTCTTGCAAGCGATGATATATAGTCTATACTAAACAACATGTATAGTTTATTTTAACAAAGTTTATACATTCTTATCATGTTATCAGCTGCTAGAGGCTTCTCTACCCCAGCTGTGCGAATACCTGAGTCCCAGCACTACAGTGACAGCCACTCTAACAGTTCTACTACACCTGGCTAACAAGAGGGCACAGATGTTGGTGGACTACGTACCCAAGGTGAAGCAGGCTGCCGAGTGTCACACCAACGCTCTGTGTCTAGCCGCACAAGTAATCTCGGCCGTCGGGAAACTTAGCAAGGTAAGCGGCAGTGTGAGCTCATATAACTTTCCCCAAGGTGTTTTGTCAAGGAAAAGTTCTAGGTCGGGATTGTAATTTTGAGACTAAAGAGGTAGCAGCTAGTTGACCTATAAGAGTCCAGATAGGCAGTCCACACAGTGGACACAGACACAATATTTCGTCTCTTGAGAGAATTTGTGAAGTAATTTTTAGCAATAACCCACTCACACTCTTAGATTAGGTTGAATTGCTGGCAGCCATGAAATTATTTGTTAGCAGCCTCCCGCTTCTCAACTGGCTGGAGGCTGGGTCCATTTATTCTTATTCCTCAGACTTCCTCAGATAGTAGATTGAGCTATCTTATCTCGATCATTCTACTATACCTATAGGCCTACATAACATTCCTTTCATCGGTAGGCTAGAAAATAGTATTTGTCAGTTTTCAAGCATTATTCTCGTTTGTTTATGAGTTTTGGGGATTTCCAGGAAAGAGCGGAGGACGCGTTGAACTTTGTGCTGGAACATCTGTCCAAAGCCGACCGCACGCATCAGAGTATGTTGTTGAAGGAAGCAACGCTGTTGTGTTCCAGCTATCCTGTGTTGTTCACTGAGAAAATGCTCGCTCAGGTTTACAAAAACAAGAACACCTCCAGGTAAGTCGAATATGACTTAATGTTTTGGTGTTTCAGGATGTCCCATTTATACATCAAAGGACCCTAGGCCATAGTCCGGAACTGTTTAACAAATAATTTCAGGTTAAGCCCAGAGGCTTGTGGCATTATCACTTAGGCCTAGATATAATCAATACAACTTAAGACTTCGGGAACAGAAGTTCTACCAATAAATCAGCTCGCTCCCCGTTGTTGCCATTATACAGCTTCTAAAAATTACGATCTTTTATTAAAGTCCTCAACATTTCAGTTTGGAAAATATTCCTAGTAAAAATCTAAATAAATGTTAAACGTACGTCAGATTTTCATAACTTTATCCTTTATGCTAAAAAAGGATACTGTAGCCTTACTGTTGCTTTGATTGAATATGTCACTGAACTACTTGTTATATCTTTCTTTGTGTTTAAAAAAATCTAAAAAATATTCAGGATCAATATTTATTCATTATTTAGAACAACAACTCATAATTTCAACTAATTTAAAACAAAGTGGTGGATGCCAAAAGTTGGATTATTCACTTTCGAAGTGAGTTAAGAGATTCACTAGCGCAAGCGCTGACTTGCCAGCTTATTATTTGTCAACTAGTATCTTTAAACTGGCCCAGTGCAATTGAGTAAGAAGGCCTACTAATGGAAATCTAATAATTTACAATACATCCGTAGAAACAATATCTTTGTTTTACTTTAAGGTAAATGATAATCTTTGGCATTACATACTGTGACATTGTATTGGTTAGTTCTCAGGTGAACCAGACATCGGCAGGAGTGACCATTGTAAAGGTCGGCGGCCAAACTACTAACAACAACAACAACAGTAACACCAACAACAACAACCTCATCAACAATAATGTATTGACAATGGTTAAACCCAGCCTTACGTCTACAGCACACCACCATCTCAACATGACAAGGTATAATCTTGTATTGTGTAGTTTTGCTTTAGACATATTTTAATTTTTTCCCGTAAAATCACTAACACACTCATAATCAGGAGTCTACTGAACTGATGTTTCTTTCTTAGAACTTTTCAAAGGATTAAGAGCTATCTTTCATTATGAGAGATTTTTTCCACTCGTGTGATTTAGAAACACTAAATTCGAACATGTTGTGTGTTGCAGGGACTCGGGTGGAAGACAAGAGACCAGTAGAATAGTGATCACTCCCAGACCTAGGCTGGGTCCAGACAGCCGCAGCACCAGTAGGCTACACTCTGCAGCTCACCGCAGCATGACTCGGCTCAACATTGGTATGTCACTACTCTTCCACATCTGACGGCTCTAGTCCCGAACTGTGTATACATTCAGGCTAGTTCTAGTGGGTCGCGGCAGTATTTCTTAGGTAGATTTCCTTGCTGATTGGCGGGATTTGATCCCAGGAACTCTGGGATTGAAGTGACACACTCCTCCACTAGAAAAGCTTACTCACACTATTATACTGTTAGGTTTGGAGAGAAAGGGCTAATTGCCTGAGAATAGGTGTGAGAAAGGATAGGATAAGCAGGCTTACCTTAAGAAATGTAGGCATCCCACTTCATTCACTACAGAACACAGAAGAAAACACAAACAAAATAAAATAAAATAAACACTGGATATTTCGAGGCCACTGGCCCCTTTCTCAACATGGAGAGTCACATTCATTATACTGTTAGTAATTTTTTTCTTAGAAACAAAATATGCAGAGTGCCTAAGAGTGTTTTTGAAGCTGTACTCGGGCATCTTTTGAAATTGATTGTACCTTTCCAAGAATAGTTTGGGAGCTGTTTGCCTGTCCTACATCAGTCACCAATCTTTGATTATGTGAACAAGCTAATTTTGCTCTAAAAGTTTAAATAAATGGTATCAGCAAACTGACACATGCTTTATGCCATTGGGTTCGTACAGTTGTACCATTTTGTATCAAGTTCAAAGGCCCATAACATACTAAATTTTAATAAAAATCTATCTAGCCGTTTTAGTAAAAATCTAATCTTGCCATCATTTTATGGGTTTTAGTGGAATAATTCCCATTGAAAATCAGAATAAAAAATAAAAATGTAAAAGACACTTGGTTATCATGAACCAACGCACCTAATTTTATCAAAATCGGACCACAGGTGAAGTCTGTAGCTCTCTACACATCCACATACCGACACTCACAGACATCACTTTAAAAACCACCTTGGGTTCAAGATTACCCAAAACGGATATTTCCGCCAAAAAGACAAACTCGAAAACTTTGACAAAAACAATATTTTTTCCACATACTTTGTATAGGAGATGAATGTACAAAACATGTTTTTTGGCTCTGCAAAAATTCATCAAAATGTGTTTGTTACAGTAAACAACAGCAGGATCGGTCTTCACAAGAGTATGACGAGATTGAGTTCCAGTCAGCAGATCAATCAACCTTCACATCAGGTTACTACAGGTGTGTAATACGTCAAACTATTTTTGTATTGGCCATGTCAAAAGTAATAAGGCATAAAGTGTAATAGGTGGGTTTCTAAATATTTGCAGCAGTTGGAGCAAATTAGGTTATCAATTTGTTTAGATAGCTCAGCACCTTTTTGATGGTTCAGCACAGCTGCCCTTGATCATTGGACTTTTAAATAGGACTTGGCTAATGAAACAGCTGATCTTAGATGGTAAAAATACTAAGCTATCGTCTCAATTATTCAACACTGGCCTTTCACTCGTATTTACCTTAAAATATGTTGTCCTACTTTTTAACTTAGGGGTGTCAGCATTGTATAGATGTAGTATTCTCTAATCAATAGACATCTCTCCAATAGGTCTGGAGTACACAGTATAATTTCAAATAGTAGGTTACTTTCGTTGTGTAGTAGGTGATCCAGGAATTATAATCATTAATACGATTTCTTACCTTGAATCAAAGTAAAACTGTTTATAAACACTAGATAGAATCTACTGTGAAAATCTATTCTTACTGTTATTTCTTCTTTGAATGAATTCTAAAATTTATAGCCTAACTGATTTTCAGAACGGTTGATGTAAGTTTGTTTTGTCCTAGCACGTTAAGCTCTAGCCCGTGATCGTTTTGCATATTACTTCAGGCTAGATCTAAGGGGTTGCAGCATTATCACAAAGATACAATTCAGTGGTGATTGGCAGGATTTGAACCCAGGACTCCAGGGACCTAAGTCCCAAGATACAAGTGTTTACTAAGATATTAATATTGTGTTTCAGTGACAACAATCAACGGAGCAAGGCATTACAGTCTGGCCCCAAACAAAGTGTCTAGCGGAGGTGTCTCAGTTACCACCAAGGCAGCTAGGTAATTTGTTTCATGTTAATTACCCCTTGTTGGTAGAAGCTTCACAGTTCTTGACGTTTGGGTTATGAAACAATCAGCCACTGTTTGGTGGTATTTTCTTGATGGTCTCTGGAAAGGTCGAAAAGGCCTTGGATATTTTCTTCCCTGTCGGTTTAGGTCTGTTTTATCAACTATAGGCTTACAAATTCCACTGTAAGATAGGCCCTAGGTCCACATAGACTTTAAAGCTGATTTGGAAGACTTCTTGGTAGATTAGTGGTTTGCACATTAAAACATTTTGCCTAATGATTAGAAGACAGCTGATTCGATCGCAGTAAAGGTCAGTAGATTTTTTATGGTTCGCACCTGGAAGTAATAAATTGTCCTGCCTAAATGAACAGCTGATCTTAGCAACAATCCACACTGTACAATTCATCCTAAAGTATGTACACAAATTACATCATCGTCTTAGAGGAGTGATTCAGGTATCCTCTTCATGGAAACCGCAGGGGGCTCACGATTGCGTGGGTTCGTGGCCTGGGCGACCACGCGGACCCTAGCTCTCCCAGAGGGGAGGTAAATGCCCGGTGTTGGAACCGGCACTTCAGGTAGACCACAAGCTATGGACGACTGGACAAGCCAGCCTCTTTGGGTTTACCCAAAGTGAGAGTACCCAGTGACATTCCCTCCATTCAGGGTGGTGGGGGTGTTCAGCTCTGCTAGTGTTGATTAAGTTCATAGATCTTTCACCTGCCTGTAGCTTGTGGTTGTGACTGAGTCCTACCTGTCGTGTACGACTGGCATTTTGTGAGGCATATCCTCGACTTTGGAAGTAGCCTCGTCCTGGGAGGTGAAATACCTAGCCCCCAGAGGGGAGGTAAATGCTCCGTGTTAGTATCGGCATTTTCAAGTTGGCCACAGACATGGACGACTGGGCATCGGGTCCCAGTGACATTCCTTTATCCAGGATGGAGGGGTGTTTAGCTCTAGGAGAGATGGAAGTGCATCATATTCTCTAACCTACCTGTGTCTGTGGTTCTTTGGGCTTCGGCCTGCTTGTTGTGTGCGACCAGCATTCAGTGGGCAAATCCTCGACTTTGGAAGTAACCTTTCCTGGAGGTGAAAACGGGCAAGTACCCGCAGCTCACGGGGACACTCAAGGGCAACGTAACTTTCCGCAGTGTGAGGGCAACGGTTTGTAGGTACTTATGCAAACCAATCCCTGTCTCTGAGCACGGACGGTATGGTTATCTTGAGTGTGGGGGGTTCTTCCCGGAACCTCAATTGAGTCAAGGGTGTCGCCACCTCTGGTGGATAGGTTCATCCGGGTGGGTCCCACTTCTATACCTGCCTCCTTTTGGGAAACCCTGATGGCCTGGCAGTGATGTTGGGTCTGACGGGCAAACGAAGTAGATCGGGTGCTGGGTCCGAGCCCGCCAGGGGTATCTGGGGATCTATCGCTCTGGTTATCTCTGGTTTCCCAGCAATGGGTAAGGCCTCGATTGGGCAGCGGTGTAAATGGGAGGTTGGGGTTCCCCCCGTCAGCGTGCTGATGGTCCCCTTCCTCCTGGCTATCGATGGCGGGTTCTGCCTGTCAGGGATTAGATAGGTCCCGAGTGTTGCTTGCACTAAATGCGTCGGGGCGCTCTACCATGGACCTCTAGGTCCCGACCTAGTGGAACCCAGGTGGAGTGACGCTTAAACAAGCAGCCGGAATCCCTGGTTAGGATTGAGGGGCAACCCTCTTTCCGAAGGGTCTGCTTCGGCAGCCGGCGAGCCTGATGACCTTAAGTCATCCGCCCATGGTGTGCTAAAGGTTGATGCGTAAGCTTCGGCCTACATCATGGGGCCCGGGTATGTCCTAAAGGATAGGTACCGGGTATGCAGTCAGGGGGCTTCGGCTCTCATGACAACAATAAATGTAATAATGTAATAATAAAATAATCCTCTTCATGGACAGTAGTATAATGTTCACTCCTTAAATAAAAAATTATGATAGATTCACCAAAGCTGATACTTTTTACTGCCACTACACTTTTGTGTAGTGCTATGATACTTTTTCTGAAAATTAGTCTCAACTGATAGGCCTACTTGTAAATTATACAATATAATCACCTAATCGGACCAATGTGTTTCTGTTGTTGTAGCAATAACGTATCAGACTCCACAGTGACGGTCAGTACTGCACCGCCTCTTCATACTACATCAGGTTTGTATTTTGTTAGGCCTATGTTGATTGCATAATCACTTAAGTTGGTAAAAGTTGGCTGTATGAAGTACCTATTTATTTGACAAATGTAATTGTAAAACTTGCCTCTCTTCCCCACTAATTTTTGGCTAATATGATGTTTAGGCAAACCTCAGCTGTTATTTTAGAGGTAGGATCAATTGGAGGCAATAGATGTCTTTCCCTAATTGCTTTTTTGTGAACGGAATATAAATCTCAACCACAATGTTTGCTTACAAAATAACAAAATAAAAACTAAACATATGATTTATAAAACCAGTAGAAAAAATTTAACTTGAAGTAAACATTTTCTAACAGTAGTTAGTTAAGTAGCGTTTACACGAAGCTAGTTGACTAGCAGGTTACCTGCCGCAGGTAACTTGAAATACATTAGAGGCAAGTAACCTGCCTGCTCTACTGGCCTGGTGTTAACACAGCTTTATGTTATAATATTTTGTCACAGTAATAATATAATATTCAATAGTCCAAGTATCACTATTCCCACAATCTTCAGTAACATTGTAAGCCACATTTTTGGTCACCTTTGTCGACCTTCAATTCTTGGCTTAGTAAGCTAATCCTGAATATACATTTTTCCCTAACCCAAAGGACAAGATAGAGAAGTACTAAGTTGCATTGAAGTTACAGAAACTTAAGAACCTAAGTTTACCCGTAGCAGTCAAAAAGCTTGGTCCCTCCTGGGGTAATTCACAAGGAAAACATTATATCCATGGTACGATTGTTTCAGTGAGTACGACCCACACGCTTCCGCACAGCTCCAGTAGTTCACCTCTGTCCCAATCTGTAGTGTCTACTCTTCCGTCCACCAACGCTCTGCACTCCTTAGTAGGTGAGGTTTCACTGTCAACACTTACTTGTCCAAACTTAGGCAATGTACAGCCCTACAATTGTATCAGTTAAACAAATTTTTGGTATACACTTAATAACAACTGATATTTGTTTGTTTGACAGCTTCTACGACAGGAGCCGTTTCAGTAACACAAACTCTACCTGTGACTGTGATGAGTCATGTGGTCTGTCCGAGGAGAACCAATACTAGTGTGACACTCATCAACCAATCACAACACTCCATCACACAGGTCAGTATAACCATTTAGAGGGTCTGTATGGACGAGCTATATCCTTGTGTGTTAAATAAACATTATCAGCAAACTGACATATTTTCTCCCATAAGCTTGACATCAGAATTGTGTGCGGATGTCTCCAGACTTATTACCATAGACATAGACATAGACATAGACTTTATTTGCACAAAACATTCCATACATGTCATAACATTTAGAATAGGTGCGTTGTCAAAATTAAATCCATACATAAAATATTTAACATTAAAACTTTTAACTTAAAACTAAACACTAAAAAAAAATTTTCTAAATTGTAGTTCTGTAAAAATCTTCAATTGAGTAAAAAGCCTTGTCAATAAGAAAATTATCTATTGTATCTTTAAATTTGGTTTTGCTTAATGACTTATACAGGGTGTCTACCAACCGGGAAATCCGGGAAAACCGGGAATTGTACTTAATTTTTTACTGGCCATGAAATGTACGGGAATTGTCCTTAAATGCCAGACTATATCCTTAAATTTTTAATGGGCAATAATTTTATCGATCGCTAGTTGGTTAGGAGCACATATAAGGTTTATCAGATGTTTGTTTAGTTTACATTTTCATAAATTTATTACTAGGATAATTGTGCAATAAAAAACCATTAGAAGCTCAAACCCATTAATATTTTATCACCACAATCAAGTGTCAAGTCAAGTACTTCCAAGAACAGCAAGAACCGTGAAAGTAGCTTAGGCCATAAAAGTTTTATCACTTTTATTCCTTTACAACTTCCATTATTTATTACTTGGGTTATTATTATGAGATCCCAAACCTATTTAATCATGGAAATAATAGTTTTATTATAATAGCTGTTAAATTTAACTTCTTACTTTTATCTTCTTGAACATTCAATTTGCCGATGGCCATTGCCTACTGTCATAAAACTGTTTATGGTTTCATATTAAACTTGTAACTAATCTACAGTATTATTTTGTAAGTTAAAACATTTTTTTATGGATATTACTTTCAGTTGACAAAACCACAAGCATTGTTGTTTGCATTAATTGTAACGCAGACCTACTTGGTCTCAAATCATGTCATTGCATTTTCTGTATCTTTGTCTTATATTGTTGGCTGTTCAGGTTTCAATGTTTTTGTTTTCCATATTTATTTATTGTGATATATGCTTTAAGCAATCTAAATCTTATGAACTAGAATGATGATGGTGACTTTGCTTCTATTATAACCTCATTGTTTGTCACTCAGTTAATATAGCCCCCCCTAAATAATTAGGTCTACGCCTGGGTATTTTTATTCTTTGAAAGAGCTGTAGAATATACTAAGAAAATGTAATTGATTCCAATAACTTTGCAAATGAAAAGACAATAATCTTTCACTGTGCTTACTGGTAGCCGCTTACCATACCGATTTTGTACCGAGAACCGAGGTACAATAAATGTATTAAAGATTTGTTTCAAAAGTAGTCGAGAACTTAACGTTGTGCTGGGGCGAATCATGCCTAACTAATCTACATAGATCGGATATGATATGATAATGTTTCCATGACCGATCGAGATATTCAGGATTTTGTCGCTATTGCGGTAGATGATGATTGGGTTTCTCTGTTACACTAAGCTTTACCCGAAGTTAATGTTTGCTCATTTCAATAAATTTATATTTTGAAATTTAACTCTTGTCTATTATTACTTACTTTTCTCTCTGGTACAACTACAACGAAGAACAATATTAATACTGTTTGACAAATCAGGAAAATATATTCGGTAATCAGTGCGACAACGGTTACGACAAAGTGTCCTTAAATGTACGGGAATTGTCCATGAATTTTTTATCCAGAATGTAGTAGACACCCTGCTTATAGCATGGCGGAAGCACATTGTACAATCTCAGCCCAGCGTACAATGGAGATTTTTCATATAGGGTCAAACGGTGTCTGGGGAGTCTAAATATATTTTCATTTCGGGTTTCATACCTGTGATTAAAATGTATTGTTTCTGGTAGCTCATTTTTAACTGAATGTATGTAATTTAATAATTCTAGAATATACAAACCCGTTAATGTATGAATTCTTAAATTTTGAAAATGTTTCTTACAAGAACTGCGTGGATGAGAGTTGGTAATAATACGAATAATACGTTTTTGTAACCTGAATAAAGTTTTAATACCAGTAGCTTGACCCCATAAAATTATGCCATATCTTAACACTGACTCCACATAAGCATGATAAACTACTTTGAGTGTCTCAATAGAAACACAGTCCCTTAAATGTATGAATAAAGATGATATCGACCTAATTTTGTTACGTAAATAATTCAAATGTGAATCCCATTTAACTGCGTCATCTACGTAAACCCCTAAGAATTTATGAGCTTCAACTAAATTAAAGGAACAGTTTTCCATATTTTTGTGTCTAGTAGAAAATTTAATAATAACTTATTTGTTTTTTCAACATTAAGTTTTAACCCATTTTCTAAAAACCATTGCTCCATGTCCTTTACCACACTTTGCAGAGAAGAAAACATTTTAGCTAATATTATTTTTGATCAAAGCAGTAGTGTCATCGGCAAAAAGAATTAGTTCTTTATTAATAGCTTTTGGAAGATCATTAATGTAAATAAGAAAAAAAAAGTGGGCCCAATACTGAGCCTTGGGGAACACCTGTGGATATAATTTCCCATGGTGAATAATGTTTGTTGTTATCTTCTAAAATTAAAGTTCTTTGTTTTCTTTCAGAAAGGTAAGATTGTATTAAAGAAAAGCAACTTCCCCCAATCCCATAAACAATAAGTTTTAGCAACAGGAGTGAGTGATCCACACAATCAAAAGCCTTAGACAGGTCACAGAAAACACCTGCTGTGGCCTGAGACCTGTCCAAGGCCTCTGCAATCTCATTAACAAACTGAGTAAGAGCAGAAACTGTGCTTAAGTTTTTTCGGAAACCAAATTGTTTATTGTAAAATAAATTATTACTTTCAAAATAATTAACTAGTCTATAGCTTATTACTTTTTCAAATATTTTTGAAAAATTACTTAATACTGATACTGGACGGTAGTTATTAATATCTGATTTTGAACCTTTCTTAAAAACGGGAGAAATTTGGGAGTACTTGAGTTGATCCGGAAAAATACCATTCTTTAAACACTGATTTATAATAAGAGATAAGGGTTCGGAGATAATGTCAGCAGCAGATTTGATCAATTTAATTGGGATTTCGTCCCAGCCTACTGAAATTTTGTTCTTTAGAGAAAGGATGATCTTTTTTATTTCATCTTTATTAGTGGGGCTAAGATTGCACAATGTAACCCCACCATCACTGCAGTATGATTTTACAGACGAATAAACACCATTGACAGAAGCCTTTTTTACATTCAGATTAATAACTGTATTACAGAAAAAACTGTTAAAAAGCTTAGCTACATCATCAGGATTATCAACAGTGGTTTGGTTTGTATCATCTTTTAAAATAATTTTGTATCTTTGAGTACGGTTTAAACCCAGTTCATTGTTAACAATTTGCCAAGCTGCCTTAGACTTGTTTTCAGATTTTCTAATTAGGTTATTATTTGAGAGAATTTTTGAATTTTTTACAACTTTATTAAATATTTTTTTGTACCCAAAAATATTTTACCTACACCTGTGATCTGATTTTGATTTAATTTGGCATCTGGGTACTATTCCGAGGTATCTTTTCATTCCCCAATAAGTGGCTCAGTTCTAATATGCTCACTTTTATTCAATAATTGGTTATGACATTGACATTGAAATGGAATGTCTTATCCATTTTCTCCTGATCGCGGAGACAATGATGATGTCCACATGAAAGCGGGAGATGATTATGATATCTACAATAGTGAAAAATGTTCAGGAGTTTGCCCAATTCGCAAGAGACGATAATGATGTCCACAGGACCACGGGAAGTATTTAGGATTTTGCTACAATTGTGGAGAATAGTGTTAACATTTCTTTGAATGCGGCTTAAAAAAACCTCAAGGCGGGGTCAACAAATAATCTCAGGATCCCTTACCTCTAATAATTATTAGCTGACATAGTAACAATATTTAATTAGCCTGTAAGATATGATTTCTCCTTGACGCTGTGGTTGACACTTGTTGGTTTCTTTTACAGAGAATCAGTGTGTTTGAGCCCTACCCCATGCGAGACACTGTTCAGCATTTCTGTGAGAAACACCTGGACAAGATTAAAGCCTACATGGAGAAAGTATCAGTCAGGATACCACCGCCTGCCAAGTGCACTATTGAAGGTAAACAACAATCACTTCCGAGACACCTAACGTTTTGGACCACACACGACGTTTTGGACACACGTTTTGGACACACCTAACGTGAATGGAGTTAAATTATGGAGTTTGCAAGTGTTACTTGTGATTTTATTTATCACCAATGGTTAAAACATAACCTTTGCATATTCTTGACTTTCCGTTTATTTGTAAAGATCATGTTGAATTTTTGTCAGCTGACATTAAAATGTGACTCAAGTTTTGGAGCGGTGGTAAACAGTGGGTGGTAAATTTAAATGCTCACATTTTTTCAGTCCTTATAGATGACCAACATTGGAATGACCACATTTCCAAGGATATGGTTTTTTGATGTTGAAGCACCAGGTTGGAGTGTAGCAGTTTATAATCCTGCATTGTGTTTTGTTGAACACTTAGGCCTATAGTTGTGTTTTCATATAAACATGATTTATTTTCTTCAACAACGCCCAGTACAGCAACAGTTTTTGTGTATAACAACACTGTGACCAAACAGGCCGCTTGAGTTCCCCTCATCTACAGATGAACCGTAGTTTTTGCATCAACCAATTTGTCAGTTGGAGACTGCTATGAATTCTAATGACACCAGCGGCAAAAGCCTACGAAGATTACTGATGGGTTCATAAAATGCTACCACACTTTTACTCCACCCAAGAACAAATGTCCATTGAGAATAACTAATTTATTTACAGAGAGACGAGCCAAGAAGCTGGCCAAGCTACATTTCGCCTGTCAGGGTCGTGGAGAGCATTGTCTGTACAGCAGGACTTTCTTCACCATGAGGACACGCAACCCTCGAGTGTGGATACATCTCATGTTCCTCGCACTCCAGGCTCGGTCCCCCTCCGCGCTCAGCTCCAGGGACAGCTCCGTCTCCAGCCTCAAGAACTGCTGGGACATCCTCAAGTGTGAGAATAAGACGTTCCTTACACTTGTCACCTCTGCGTTCCCCTGCGCCAAGGTAGGTTCTTCAGTCTCCTGATTTGACAGTTTGACAAAAAATCCCATCTTAATATTTGTTTTTATAATTTAAATTGACTGTTTTTATTGTTGTATAATCAAACTGCAAACAGAAAGATGCACAATTGCGTTGTGATGAAAAGTTTCTTTCATAACTTGTACCAAAGAGCGTGCACTGGATAATGCAACTTTCATTACTTTTATTATAATATACTATTAAACATTTCATTGTGTTAACCATCAGTCTTTTTCAGGACCAGGAAGCAGTACTGAATGAGCTTAGACACACAGGGTTTTGTGACGTGTTCTCACACATCGTTCGCACCAACGCGGCCGGGGAGTCCACCAATGTCTGGGGCTGTTTTCTCTGCAACCATCCGGAGAGAGCGGTCGGCTTCCTACAGGACTCTCAGCCGGTCATTGAGGGACAGCTCAAGGAGAAAAAGGGACGGTGGAAGATCTTCCGAAGATGGCGGACTCGCTACTTTACTCTCAGCGGTGCTCATCTGTCCTACAAGGGCTCGGTGAGTGGCCTTCTAGGTTAGGTTATACTCAAATCCTTGTTCACCGTGCAGTAGGGAGTTTCCATAAGCCATGTATTTCAAATGGGAGTTTAAGCGATATTAAATGTGCTATAAATATCAGGATCTGCAAAAGGTTTCTATACTTTTTTAATATTTTCCTACACTTTTTATTGCTAAGTTTTGCTATATACCAGAGTCAAAGTACAAGTAAATCTCAATAATTATTGCTTAAACAAGGGTCGCTACGGCAGTAGACTCAACCCACATGACGATTAACATAATGTTTCCAGTAAAGTCGATAGCATGGATATCCTCCTTAAGACCTGTACTGCATGGAATGGACTAGACTATTAGGTTAAATGAAATCTTTCAGCCTTATATACTTGCATGGTGTTTTCCATCAGAGAATATTCTCCGTACTGTATAATCCTTACTTGAAGTGGAATGTCTTCTTCACACTAGAATTAGGAGGTCTTCCACACACAATACTTAAGTTAAAGTGCTTTCACAGATACTGGGCATTCTCTTACATTCAGAGAGGAGGAGATTGGGCCGTATTTGATTCTCCTTCTAACCATAATTCCACTTGTATTATGTCTAAACTGAACAAGTGACCTTATCTTGTCCAAAGCAAAACCTGTTATCAAGAGGGTTTGTAGAGTAGCATTTACTTAAAGTAGAAACAGTTAAACAGCTAAACTATACTTTGTGGCCAGGATGAAAGTATTTTTCAGGCCAAGAGTAAAGATTTGTGTGTCAGTTTCCTTATTAACATATTTATCTCTGTATTGGCTTACTGTTAAACATCTACTTTGCCCCACAGAAGGACGATAAAGAGGTGACGCCTATCGACGTTCACCAGATCAGGTCTGTCAAAGTGAGTCGAGGAGCTCGCAACATACCTAAGGCCTTCGAGATCTTCACTGGCGACCACTCGCTCATACTCAAGCCGAAGGGCGGCAAGAATGCGGAGGAGTGGGTACAATGTCTGTCTGTCGTGGTGGCACACTCGCAAGCTAAAGACGTTCCGACTAGAGGCTCGAGTCTGGTGCGAACATCCGTCTGATAAAGGTGGAATGAGTGTTCACTTGATTCGTATAAACGGATACGAATTTGCAGCTATAAGTGTTGTGGGTAGTGGTGTTTTGTTGTTTCTGGACCAAGGTAGGAAACGATTAGGTGAAATGAAAAGGAAACTATATTACTAGGTAAAATTTTTTGTTTGTAGTGTAACGTTTGTTCAAATAACAAAGGATGCCAGGTATAGGGCCTTCCTGTTGCGAAAGGTTTGTATTCATTAACGGCAGGTAGGCCCTATCCCCAACCGCCTTCAATGTTTGAACAAACTATAGTTTATGATATTAATTGTCTCTCGCATTGGTTCAGAAGTGGCAAAAAACAATTACTGTTCGTGTTGGTCATTGTGAACAAAGAGAATCCATTTGTAGTCCCTCCATTAATGCGTAAATGAATCCACAATACCTCTTGAAATACACCATAAAAATTGAGTGTGTGAAAATTGAATTGAATAAATTTAGGTTCTAGGGTTGATGCCTGAAGGGGTTGAACAGGAATCCAGTTGCCTTTGCCTTGGTTTACATAGGTATGATGTTTATGAAATTAAATCAATCCAATAAGTATTAGCGTTAGGTACCAGACACAAACACTATTCGTTCCCTTGAAATGACACATTGTATTGTGTTAAGTCTTTTGATATAGGCTAAGAATTACAGTTGTTCAAAATTATGAATAATTGGGTTGTAAAATTTGTCATCTTATTTATTAAACGTGTAACATTTTAGGACTGAGTATGGCACATCTAGAATTTGATGTTAATTGATAAGTCGATAGATAAATTGCTAGTATTATCTGTATTACCTTACTTAATATTCAAACCAAACTAAAATAAAATTATGGAATGTTTCATTATTCATTTAATAGTAAATTACAATCTTAGTTGTTTGTGCCTTATCCATGTGTGTGGCTATTCCATGTGACAATTTTTTAGATTGTTAACTTATTATTGTTACCTGTTTTTTTCTGATGTGTAGATGCATGAAAAATAGTTATTGTATTAGTGCAGTTTGTACAACCTCAGGCTGCTAAAATATTTATATTCAATGGAGAAAAAATACCAAGACTGGTGTAAATCAAGCCTTACGTATTTAAAATTTAACTGTTGTTGTACATAAACATTAAATATTTATACACCAATAGTATCTTTGTTTCTATTACGGTACAGTTAGAATATCCCTGCTGCAGCAAATCTGCAGGCTAAAAAAAATTTGATTTGCCTAAATGGATTTTCACTTAAATATTACCTTAAACGTGTCAGATTTATTCGCTGTTTGGATGATATTAATTTTAACGTGTTCTTAGGTTTTATACTACAGAGAAGGTAATAAAGTGTGTTTTTCACAAAATTTTAATACAAATTTTTACCCCATAAGAAAGAACCCGTTCCAAAATAGTCTGATCATGCTGGATTGTGAACTCGTTCAAATAAATGCATTCTTACACATTTTGTACCAAATTTAATGGAAATCTCATAATTTTTCTCATATTTGTACAAATTTAAACAGATTGTGTCTTTGGCCTCTGAGCACATCAAAACAAAAATAAATCTATCCCTGGTCTAGGTCTTACCATGAGACTTGTGGTAATAGGTAGCTTATTCCCTATATGGGAAATTTGGTAAAAATCAAGCCTTAATTCAGTGAGTTTATTTACAAGGCTGAAAACCAAAAGAATACAGTGTTACCAAAAGAAACATTTACATTCCAGGATTCCAGAAAGGGTTTTTATTAAGTCTTGTCAATTTATATCAATATAGTGCTTCCACAATATAGCCAATTGCAAAGTCATTAACTTAAATTTATAACTATGGTAGTACGTAAAATTTGTATTGCTACTAACAAATACTTGACAAATGAAGGCCTGTAAACAATGTGATAATCTTTAGTAGACGTAGGTCATTTTTTTAAGTGAATAAACATTTTTTATAGTAATTGAATTGATGTACGTGTGTGATATGTTTGTTTCATAAAGTAGAAACTAAACAAGCTTTGAGGTAGTGCTAAAAAGTTAACAGAGATTTCTAACATCAGGAGTCATGGAAAGGAAATATTTAAAGTTTTTACTCTACCTCATGCATTGTATTATAATTATATACTTGTAATTTTTATACAATAACCAGGGTTTTTTATATGTATTAGTACCGTAATATCTAAATAACAAAATTAATAGTTTTTTTGTAGATATAAATACTTTCTATACAATAAATTAATAGTTTAAATTTAGCGATGCTTTTTCATAATGCAAAGAACATAGGTTTTATTCTCATGAATAGTAAATATGACAAGCATTTTTATTTACTTCCAAAGAGTGTTAGACCAAAGTATCTTATTTCATTATTTCACATTGATTTCCCATCATTAAATGTTCTTTCTTCAATCAATACCATTCACAAAAATGATCCATCATCATCTTGATTTATAAACAGATACATGGTCAGTTTTATCTGTTTATTTCAATTGTAAATATTTGTGATATGTAAAGATTATATTAGAATTTAGCGATTTTGTAGTGATAAATTTAATTATCTAGTGCTTTTAGAAGGAATACAGTAGCGTAGTTATTTTTGTATGACGACCGTTTCAAAACATATCATAAATAACTTTCATACAATCATAAAATTAAAAATGTTGATTTTTACTTAGAGACTTTGGAATTTAAAGTTTTTTAAACACTATTGAAATTTGGTTTTCAAACAAATTTCACTGTCAGACGACACACTCCATTGTGAAATGGCATCCTTAGCTAGGGTGTAGTTGGGATTGGTTTTTCAATTTACTTTAGGCTAGACCTAGGGGTCGCGGCATTATCACTTGATAAAAATCCATTGTTGATTGGCGGGATTTGAACCCGGCACCTCAGGGACCAAAGTCCTGCGCTCTACCACTAGATAGCTTGTTCCTCTTTGCCAGATACTGGAATGCTGGATTAATCATAGAAAAACTTTGTATTAGCTCCCAGGGCAGCTCGTATTTCTGCATTGCAGCTTACCAATAATATCACTCCCTCCCTACCTTAAATGGACTAGTAGATTTAGTCTCACCCTAGGTGTTGAGGATGCCACTAGAGTAAAAAATCTGGCAGTGAATTTTATCTAGAAATTCTGTTGACAAAAAAAAAAACATAAAAACGTATGTATGGAGATTAAATACCATATAATCAGTACTTCTGGTACCTACTAAGCTTATTTAGTGCTTTCTTCTCATTTACCATATTACATATCATTACGATTAACGTAGTTTGTACTCATATTAATCCATGGGGTGAATATGGTGATATGCATACTTAACAATATTGATTATATATAATTATGGTTGTAGTACATATTAAATTAATTTACTCATACACTTTTAATCATTTACTTGCGCTCAATTAAATAGGCAATCTACTATGTGTATTTTGTAAATATTTTTTTCTTAAGTTTTATACATTGTGTTGGTAAATTTAAATTGTGTATGTCCTTCTTTCTGTTTTTGTTTGAAGATTTTATTTTTTGCAGCTATTAGTACAAAGTATTATATTTAGGATTTTTTTGTAAGGATAGCAGGCTTACCTGAATGGGAAAGAGTCTAATCTGGTACAAAGAGTAAAAAAACTGTACACTATATACATTACAATATTTGTTGAGACAGTATTGCCAACTGAAACTATGTTTTCAATGTGTACACATTGGCAACACACATTGGCTGTTTCAACAACTCCCTGGCCACCATTTTTAGACCTAAAGAAACTCTCTCTTCTTTAGTTGAAAAACACTTTCAGTGACAATTTTATGGGTTTCTTGGGACAGTTTGGACTCTTTCCCATTCAGGTAAGCCTACTATACTCACAAAGAATCCTAAAAACCTAGGCCCTTGCGCTCTATGTTGCATCCTAAAAGTATTATATTTAGTTAGGCTATCACTCCAAAAAAAGAGTGATTTGAATGTAAAAAAGAAGTAGGGTTTCTCATAACAACTATTATTTATATATATCTAAATTTCTGCTATCCAAAAATCTAATTACATATGATATTTCCCAAATAGCATATTAGTTGTCAAACCCTTTAGGATTTTTGATCTTGGAATAATAGCATATTTCATAGCAAGAGTAGAATGTGAGTCATCGTTGATTGAGAAATCTCGCCCTTTAAAGATGATCAAGAAAGAATATGTAATGACCGGGTCCGCGGAATTGGCTAACTCTGGAACTCGCTAACCCCATGTTAAACGCCCTATCTTCAAATTTGGTCGATGAGAGGAACTCGCTAACTTGTTCGGTTTCGGAATTGGCTAACTCCGGAACCCGCTAACCCACTCTAGAGCCGGGTTAGCGAATTCCGTCCTGGCATGGAAGTCGCTAACTCGGTCCCTCGGCGGAACTCGCTAACTCCCAATCAGAAGCCTCGCGAGCCGTCCAATGGGAGCCAAACACGAATATTTTTGGCCAGTGTTGCCGAAAGTGTAGTACCTATATCGTATCGGTACCATAATGTCGTATCCTACGATTATTAGGAGTAAGAGCAACGTAGTCGATAAAATAAATATATTTAGAAGTATGTTTAACATTATTCCTATGATTATTATTGTGGAAAATGCATTATAGTCTTACCATAGACTAACCAACACAAGTAAACTTTACATCCCATTGTAAACTTCGAAGCTCGTTTTTCGTGTCTAGTTCATGTCCGGTGACACTGATCGCTAGTGTCGACAAAAGTGTGTTTCTATTATTTTATAGTTAACTTCATGATTTGTTTTTTAATGTTTGGTTATATAACTATGGGACGTGTTATTAGTTTTGATTAGAACGTTTTATTTGGCTAAACGAGGTTTTAAATTACTGAAAACAAGAAACAATTGTAAACAAAACACGACCTCTAAAGACAGTGCACCGGACAGAACTAACAATAAAACTGTCTTCAGCTGATCCATTAGGATGAGAAATCTACTAAGGGAGTATGTTTTATCTATGATAGTAGCTTGTTGGTATGCAAAAAGATAAAAATGCACATTTAATTTGGATCTATTACATGTTATGAAATATCTATTTTCGTAGTCCGCCATTTGTTTCTTTTATTCGAATAAATACCATTTTGTAAATTTCTGCAGATAAAATTATTGAGTTCGTATTTTATATACTGGGCTTGTAACCTTGAATCATCTATAATATTTTAAAACGAAAGTGTGTTTTTTTATTTCACGATTCTGAATCAACCACTCGACGGATTTTCATGATTTTTGGGTTGAAAGAAAGATAATTTTGAGAACTAGGGAATGTCGAAGCCATAATTTTAGTTTAGGGTCCCAGTTTTTTAGAAATTAAGTTTTAATTTTTAAAAAGTCTAGCAGCCGACGCTAAGATTCTAAACTAGCTTTTGGCATAAAATAATTTGCTTAACATAACAGCTGTAAACATTCAGCTTTTGTGTCACAAATTCAGCATTTGGATAAAAATGTAAAGACATACTTAGGATTGACTTATTTATACCATGTGTAATGCTAATCATTGATACGTTCAATTCTTCTGTAAGAGGATGGCAGATTAATTAAATATACATAGTAAAATACTAGGATGTTCAAATTATTTTTTAAAGCAATCTTTGTAATCTTCGATTTGTTTTAGAGCAATATAATTTGTTTTAACTAACAGCTGGTTAAATATAAACTATGGAACTATGAGGTTATTTTATTTTTGTCATTGATTATAGGAAATAAGTAAGATTAGTAGAGATAATTAGACCACAGTTTAAACCAATATTAATTAAACCACAGTACAAATCGAGGCTCTGTACACGAGTCTTAATAAAAAAGGATAAATGCAAATTATTTTACTGCTCCACTTTTCAAGGAAAGATTAGAAAAATAACAATGTTTACATGTTTTAATTTTTCATGGTAGCTTTTTGTTTACAATTAATGTTTGTCTGCTTTAACTTTGTATGGATTAGGCCCGGAAATATTGATGTCATAAAAAGAAGATCAAGAATAATCAGGAATCACGATTTTAAATTACGACCACAACCTCAGCCGGGTTTTATACAAAGATAAACAGATGGATGACATAGATTGAACACAACGTCAACATTGACCTAGGATACTGCAATTAGACAAACCATCCTTAAAATCGTGTTCAGTTGTGGTTACGTTTGGGGGCACCTATATCAGCGCCCCCAAACGTGAAAATAATATCACTTTTATTTCAACTATGAATATATTGTAGTTTAAGTTAACTAATATGGGAAATTAAGATGTACATTTCTTCAATGAGGGTGTGTAATTATCAAGAATAGAACTGAAAACGGTATAGATAATAAACATTGACAATTACGTCATTAGCTTTACTAGCGTGTTTACTTTTTATATTCCTGCTACATGTGACCAGTTCTTATTTTCAAATGAATGTTATTTGAACCAAACAGCTGTTTCAAAACAAACTGTTATTGTTTTTACTTTTCTTTGTTTACGCATATTTATTTATCAATTAATGCAGTGAAATTCATATAAAGGATAGGTGTGACGATTCGTTTTGATGTTAGGACACCAAAGTTTGTGTACTGTGAATTTTATTGGATATTATCGTTTTGTTTTAGGTCGTTTCTATTCAGACCTACTGGAAATTGTGTATAGTAGTTGTATTGTGGTGATAATAATTATGGAAGAGGCAGGTATGCGCTATGGAAGGTGGTATCGTTGACTAGGTCTATACACTTCTCAATTTTGACTATTACTCTCTCTACAATATGCTACTTATAATCAGTGTGCGTCTGTGCGAATCGGCTGCAAATCTCACTTCAACGCTTTTCACATCGTAAAAATTGCAGAATTGCTGTTTTATTTTAAAATTAACGGATTTAAAATGCATATCGTATAGGCCTATGATGGAATAAAAACATATTTGGCCACACAACATTTGTTTACAAGATGATTTTTTACATTAAAACTGCAAGAAACTTTGTCTTTATATGTGTAAACTAGCTGATCTGAATTGTACACGGTTTTAACTGGCTACTGAATTCCCGTACGTAGGACGGGCTAACATCTCGTCTATTCTATAATATTAAAACGAAACTGGGTTTTTTTATTTCACGATTCTGAATCAACCGCTTGACGGATTTTCATGATTTTTGTGTTGAAAGAAAGATAATTTTGAGAACTAGGGAATGTCGAAGCCATAATTTTAGTTTAGGGTTTCAGTTTTTTAGAAATTAAGTTTTAATTTTTAAAAAGTCTAGCAGCCGACGCTAGCAATTTAAAGTATTTTCAATGGTGGTTTAACTAACAGCTGGTTTATAACTGTCATTGAAATGTTTATGTTACGAGTTGTTTGTTTACAAAAATATTGTTCGTTAGTGTTTGCCTACATACTATTTCACTTTAAAATGTAGATAGTTTACCCCTACCGTGAAGGATCTCCGTTATCAGGAAATGTGTTATTTTGAACTAAACATCTCAAACACTTGCGTTTACTCAAGTTTTGTCGTAAATGCAATCTGTGTAAGTATTTAGTTTATGCATTGCAAATTTCAACTCATCTATTTATTTGGGAAACATCTTTTCAGCAGTTTATTGCTTAATTATTTAAGATATAAGTGGTTTACGTGTTGATACCTACTTCTTTTTCTGTATGTTTGAATGTGAGTACGTCGGCATACTAAAATGTTGGTTAGTAATGAAAGCGTCAATCGGTGTAGTAGGTCTCTATAAAACTGCCAAATAAACTGCAGGGTGCAGCAGAAACCAAAGTCGACTCATACCATACCAACTATCCCCGTAGTACTGATGATTCAGAAACTTGGGCACTGACCAAAGAACCGAAAAACCTTAATGCTGGGTTAGATAATAAAGTACAGAGAAAATATACAGACCAGTTCAAGAAAACGGCCTGGAGGTCGAAATAAAAAAGATCAGAGAGCTACCGGTAAGAGAAATGTGTTAACACCCAAATATAGGGATGCTTTCCAGAAGTAAGTAAAGATTGGATGGACAGGCTGTGCATAAACTTTTAAAAAGTATATTCCAAGGAGTACCACACGATAGACAGCAATATCAAGTTATGAAATGCATCCTCAGACTGGGATCTAAATTTTGAAGAGGCAGGTGATAGAAGAGAATCCTCATAAAGGTTTCAGTGGTCACGGAGGTAAGATAAGGTACGGTAAGTACATAAGTAGTACAGTATGCAATAAATTGGAGGTAGCATGTAGCTACTCTACTCAAAACCAGTGTGAATCGGTCGCCAATCTCACTGCAATATTTTTCAAATCGACACAAATGCTGTTTTATGGTAAAATTATCGGATTTAAAATGCATATCGCCATATTTTAGGTCTTTATTCGAATGGAATAAATAGGTTGTCACGTTACTTTTGTTTATAAGGTAATCTTCCCCATTAAAATTGCCAGAATTTGTGTCTATGCGTGTAAACTAGATGTTCTGAATTATTCCGTTTTAGTTGACAACTCGATTCCCGTACGTAGGACGGGCCACCAGCTCGTAAATCATAATAAAATTTACACGTTAAACGTAATTAAAGAATTACATTGTAGTGGTAATGTATTTTTAAATAGAGCTATTGAATTTAAATAAATATTTATCAATACATTATAAAGTGGTAGGCCTAATGTATTCATGGATTGCATAAAAGTTAGTCTATGCATAAATACAACTTGTAAATTTCTTTTATCGTAGGCTATTAGTGTAGAACCGGGGTCATCCTCTTAATTTTGTTGAATTAATATTAATTTTACGTCTTTCAGTAGGCCTACTTTTTAAAAGTCTGGAGTTTTTCTCTAGGCTGATTCTAAATGGATGCAGGCGTTCTTGTTTGTTACAATTCTATGAATTGGTGGTCATAGCTAAAATTACTTAATCTTATTCAAAAACAAAGCTATTGTCTATTGTGAAGCTCAGTACTGGGCAACGGTGAACCGAGCAATGGCTTGGTATAGTTTATATCGATTGTGAAAGCAATATAAAGGAAACCCAACACTCAAATCAGGAAAATCCGTCAATTCGTTTATTAAGAATCGTGAATTAAAATTACCGTGTCACGTTTTATTATATGAATATTATATCTTTTACTATTTTTTACTAGTGGTGCTTAGGTGTACAATCTAAAAACGGTTTTATAACATGTAACATAAATCTGTTTTCCGTGTTTAAGAACTTGCGTGTATTTTAGCTTAGTTTCGTAGAGGTTTAATTATTTGGTACCAATTAAACTGAAATTTCAATATTTTTCATATTCTATTATTTTCTTTTATACTGATGGCATTTATATTTAAGATCGGAATCATAAACATTTAACTGGCCATTAATAAAAAAAACTAACATTTTATTAACTAGCATTAGTTTAATAAAAAAAAAACTTTTTCATGATTTTTTAATTGTCTTTGAATTACTTTGGGCTAGTTATCTGTTAAAAGTGGAATTGATAACAAAAAACAATAATATTTACTGTATTTTTATTGACACTGACATTTTGAAATACGGCAGTGTACGATTATTTTGTCGTACAAGGTTGGCAACGCTCCGTGCAGTGGGCGCGGCCGGGTTAGCGACTTCCAGAGTTAGCGAATTCCGCCGCGAGACAAAATCGAGTTAGCGGGTTCCGGAGTTAGCCAATTTCTGACTGAGACGGTTAGCCAGTTCCAGAGTTAGCCAGTTCCGACACACGACCGAGTTAGCGAGTTCCTGAGTTAGCCAATTCCTACGTCTCTAATGACCCACTAACACTCATGTTTAGAACATTACTTTTCGCTACACTACAAAAACTACTGTAATAATTTTCAATTAAAACCAGACATTGGAATAATTCTTTATTAAAATTAGGGACTTTTAAAAACTTATAGAATTTTTTTAGTTTAGGCCTTTTATTTAAATTGACATTGATTGTACAGTTTTGGTTGTTGCAAATTGAAACAGTTGATGTAACAATTACGTTTGTTTGTTTATGTAGGAAAAATAAAAAAAGGTAAACATTACTTTTGCATAACATTCTTTTTACGTATGAAAGAGTGTAATGATGAGTTTTTGCAGGTGATAAACATATGACGAAAACAGGGAATTTAACCGTAGTGTAGCGAAAAATTGTGAAATCAGGCAACCTTAAGTAAATAAATGCATATCTTCGATCGATTTAGTTTATTTACAAATCATACGTAGATAACTTTTATTTTTTGTTCTCAAGCGTGGTTTTACAATAGAATCTATTTTTGAATATTTGTAACTGTCTTGGATTGTTGTGATTGTGTTAAGACTCATCTTAGTAGATTACCCTAAATACAAATATCTTTTAAGAACTATTTGGATAGTTGTTTTGGATTGTTTCTATCCTTTTGTGATTGAATTTAAGATTTCAAAATCGTTATACATTAGCCTTGTTATACAATTTTGGCTTATAATATTGCTGTCTAATAAATATATATTTTTATACAACATGTCTATTAGATTCACTATTTTACACTTATAAACTCTTTCATATTTCATCACTTTATTGTCTCTTTACTGGGCTTGTTTAAGCTTTTAATTTTTGATAAATAGTTTGTAGTAATTTTTATCACAAAAATAATAAAACAGATACAGTCTCCAGATATAGTTTTGTAATTCCAAACTAGAGAAAGAGTAGTGTTGTTAAATGATTTTGAAACGTTTATTACACAATAATAGGTGTCAAAACATACATATTTAATTCAACTTAAATTTTTCCAAGCTCGAATTCAAACTTTGCAGCTTAAAATAAAATTTATAATATTTTGTCAAAGTTGTTCTGTTTTTCAGTGAGTTTGTAAAACTATTGCCGGTAAATAATAAACCTGATGACTCGGTTAATTAAATAGAAAAGTTGAAAAACTAAAATAGCCAAAAACTGATTTATAACTTTAAACATTTATTAGTCAACAAAAAATTACTTATACTAAAAATATTTACATACATTTTTATAAAACACATATGGCTTAAGTGTATCAGTCAGTTTTCTTCTGTTCAGGTTTGCTTGGAAACACCAAAAACAGACTCAGTTCAAACAAACATACGAGAAACCCAAAACCTGTCTGGATCTGAAACAAAATTAAGAAAAATGATAATTAGTGTAGAATATAGATCGAGAAGTGAATCCATAAATATAATATGCTCAAAATGAATACTCATGATTTCAAATTTGAGCTAATTTAAGTAAAATAAACAAATAGAAATTACGTAAACAATGTTTTACCTGGATAAACGGTTTGTTGATGGCTGTTCCGTAAAGTGTCCACAAAAATGTCACCAGCGCTGCTGCTACGAGGATTGGAAAGGGCAGATCCTTGGTGTCCTTAGTTTTGAACACGTGTTTCTAAAAAAATATTTTGAAAAAGTGAAAAATTGGTTGGTAAAAATCTGTACTACTGGAAAAATGAGGTGTCATTCTTATATTATTGTCTTAAATATTGTATAATTAAATAGTTCAAGTATTTGTTTCTTACATACTGTCTGAAACAGCTGTTATATTTACAACGTTATTGTTATAAAACATATGTTATTGTTTCCAATGTTTATATACCAGTTATGTTATGAGAAATTCGTAAGGTGCAAAAGTTAAGCTTGGTTTTCAACAGGACATTTTCAATTTGAAACATTTTGAAATTTATCTATATCTATTTACCTATATTTGAATTATTTGAAATTTTGATGCTATATTAACTTTATTAGGTATGCTAGCTGGCCCGACAGACGGCTTCCTGTCCTAATGTGGTTTTATGTCAAATGCTCGTTCATTTTCAAGATGAGCTCGTACCCATCGCTCAATCACTCACCTTCAGGTTTACCTCGTTCGCAACCCTCACTCGCCTCCAGGTAGAAGTGAGTGAGCTAATGTAAAGGCAATTTTTTTGAATTTTAAAATCAAATTACTAAAAAACGGATGGATTATAAATTTCCTTACATAAAAACCTTCCCCTGGCACTAAGGAACACAACAAAAACAGAATCATCCAGTTTGGTGCACTCGTTCTCAAGTTATGGAATACCATCAAAAAAAGGGATTCATTTTAATTTTTATAGATAAGAGCGTTTCCAGTACGCGCGCGTGCACTGGTGTTACTATTATCCGTGCGTGTACTGGAGGGTTAAATTGCTTATATAAAGGCATTTACAGACAGAGAAAACACTAATGTTTCCCTGCAGTTTCTTTCTACGTGATCATTTATCATCATATATTTTAGTGAATCCCTCCAGAAGAAATTTACATTTATAGACTGGCAAGGTTATAAACACTTATAAACTTTTTAAATACCTAATGATTTACTTACAAGGTGATACAGATGATAAAACATCAACGAAATTGTCAACGTTGTTGTGATATTTCCAAACCTGTATTCAACCAATGCTTTGTCTTCATAGTGAGCATAGGCTACTAGTGGTGCTAGGAAAGCCACCAGGCGCCAAAGACTCTTCTTTACATCTCTCTGAAAAAAGGTTATACGTTAAAAATGAATATGAGTGTAAATGGCATGAGATGATCTGTTTAGCTTTGTTTGTTACTGATTACGATCAGCTGTTTCTTTGAATAGGATCATTCATAAGGCATAAGTTTTCTCCGCACAGTCAGAAAATTCTCTGAACAATTTTCCTATTGTTGGGAGAACCAACAATGGAAAATCTTTGTGTTACTTAGCCCAATATAGGCTGAAGACTTGTGGTTGACAATGGTGGTGTTTTAGTGCAGGATCTGACTTGTCTCCTACTTTCTTGCCCTTTCCTAATTGCCTAGTGTCTAATCTGTATGAAGGTTAAAAATGAGGATATTAAACTAAATAGGTTCTGTTGCTCAGTTGGTAGCAAAACAGACTTCGGGCCCAAAGCAGTGATATCGTGGATTCGGATCCTAGTATGAATACTTTTCATCACTACAGTTCACCCTCGTATTGTACCGGCTCACTCCTTGCTTTGCTGGATACGTTCCTCTCACAGGCCTCTGTGGCCCATGTAGACGGGCAAATTCAAGATAAATGGTCCCTCCAAAAACTTTAAAAAAAATTATCTTCCACATACCTTATCCTTCGTGAAGGAGACATATACAGTGACGTACACCAGGTTGAGCATAATTCCGATTGAATGAGTGAAGACCATCGGCTTGACCTTCATCAACAGACCTTGCTGGACAAGTAGAACACTCCTGCAATAAATTAGATAGCCTATAAAATATGACAAATTTCCAATGTTTATCCAAGGTTACATTCATAAAAAAACATTTGATCGATATCTTGAAATAGTACTGAGGTAGGAATAAACTTGATTCATAGAGTTCAAGAAAGTTGACTCTTAATGCTACCTGTTTTTCCGACAATTGATTCAAAATACTTGTTACAGTAAATTATTAGTTGTAAACAACTTTATCAATCACTTAGAGAGAGTAACTGATCTTATCTTTCCGTACTATAATACTATAAATGAGTTTGACCTATAGGCAAATTGCACATTTTAAAAGAGTTTGTGTCTCGTCTCCGATGGAACAAATGATGCAATGCTCTTTTACCTAAAGATTACTTCGTAACTGCAAAAAATTAACATACAATAAAACTACTATCACTATATAAAATATATATCTTGTTTGTTTACAATAGTTATTAGATGAATAAAATTACTTGACTGCAATATTATTAATATTGATTGTGGATCCATAGAAAAAGAGGGATTTACCTACCTCAAAGAGGTAAAATAAGTAAGCTTTCCTTTCCAAAGCTAATTAAAAACTACTAGTTTAATTTTTCCAAGAAGAAGATATTTACTACAAAGTGATTACTTATTACTTACCTTGCCATCATCTCCATGAGAGGAAAGAATGGAATTCCTTGAGAGGATTTGTTCTTCCATATCTTCAAGCAAAGAAACCTGAAATCATAGAAACAATTATGTTGATTCAGTAAAACAATACAGAATGAAAAAAAAACAACCATGACAGTAACTTTCAAAGACAAAGATATAGATTTATCAAAGATGAATGGTATCACAATATTTGAGTTTTTGGTAGTTTTGGGCAGAATTAAAAATTAAGTATAGATTTCAAGTGTTTGCATTGTGTATTAGTTGAAAAAACCCAGAACTCAACTACTTCAGCTTACTACGAACCAAAGGGTATATAAAAACAGAAAAATCTTATAAAATAATAACGGTACAAATTCAACGATAATACATCTTTATATACCACCTTAAAGATAACGGGTGGCGTCGTCCTGTAATCCAGCTACTAGGAGCATACAACAAATACCAAAAAATGTTACTTATACAAAAAATGGTAAATATACAAATTGTGGATATTTATAGGGATGCACTGTGGATGCGAAGCTCCCTGGTGTGGATTAACGTCCGCACTAGTGAGTACTACGACTATCCGCAGTACTATCCTGATAATTAGACCAATTCGTAAATTACAAGGAAAAAATGTGGTTCGGATTCCACTATAAACTGTAGGTCCCTTAGTTGCCATCATCTGTATGTGCTATTAATTAACAGCTGTGTCTAAGGAACATGTCGGCCTTAGTCACTAACAAGACTACAAGATCGCGCCACTCATCCTTCACTCATATTTGGGTTAAAATACGCACATAGTGGCGTCCCCATCTTAAATAATTGATAATTGATACCTGAGAAAAAACGTAAACAGAAATTAACACGAATAATCAGAAACTGAAACTAAAAAATGAATTCTGTAACCCCCTAAATACAGCTGAATCTTAAAATTAATTTTCAAACTTACACTGGAGATAAAAGGAGAACAAAAGATGAAGCGCTGGCAGCAGTACCAATAGCATCTTTATAGTCTGCTAACCCCATCTTTCTATAAGATTTTAACCAGTTTAGAAACCAAAAATATAAAAGTGGATAATTGCACCTGTATAACAATTAATTGAAAACTGTATTTCTTACTTAAAATTCAGGTTGGCAATACTGTGATTGTTTCTTACATGTAGACAAAAGTACTTCTGCTCTCTTACAGCTAGCTTGAGTTTGTTGCTTGTTCCAATTGCTTTATGAATTTTCATGTGGAGATTTTATACCAGGCCTTACTTGAAGTCGTTATACAGGAAAGCCTAACAGTCAATGGTTAGTATCTATAAATATTTACAATATTAATTTCAGGGAAAAAATCGAACTCTGCATTATTTCTTAGCATCCGACCCCCCTTTTTTAGATAAAACGGACAAAACAGAATCCAAGCTGAGTTCAATGAACTCCTAGTCACTAGTTTTATTGTTATCAGACAAAATATTTTGCTGGTTCTTTTATAGTCTGTATCATCAAACATGTCTCCTAACCTCCGTCTGCCAACTGGCCATAGTCCCCAGGTAAGAGTATCAGGAGACAGGTTCCATCATACAGACTATATCACAATTACAGATAATTTAATTATTGATATATGTCCTAATACTGACAAATAATGTCTTTTGGGATGGAAAATCATCGGCAATTTATATTTTGAATTTTTTCATTGCAATTATTGATACTTTTTTATTCTGGTCACATTCACACCATAAATTACCTACTTTTCTACATAATAAATATATTCTTCATGAAAAATAATTACAATTCTATGAATGAAAAAGTAATATTTTAATTTGATTTATTTATAGTTTATTTATGTATTCACAACTTTTACATAAATTACAGAGAAATTACAATACTAACCTAGCAATATAAATAAAATCAGAACTTGTGTAAGATATCTAGTAAAAATGAAAACATACATACCAGGTTTTTTGGAGTATGGAAGAGTAAAGCCCTTAGTGGTTGTATCCTAGCAAAACTGTCTGTAAACTCAGTAATCTCCCTTCTTTCAATGCTATCTTATCTAATTTTGCTTGTTAACTAAATGCCAGTCATGGTCCCATTGGATATTTACTTTAAAAATTTATAATTACCTGCAATTTATGTTTTATTCTGTACAGTTTATTGTGTTTATTAAAAAGTAATATTTTGGCTATTCCTGCAACATTATTCAAGAAGAGAATACTTCCTACTTCAGGGTTCCGGTGTTTTATACTAATCTTTAAAACACAAGACTTACCCAGCGCTATTCTTCATTCATGTCAACTATTTTGTAGTGAGTTTATCATAAGTTTATCATCGCTGACCTTCCAACAATTTAATTGTCGGTTCAAGTTTAGGAAGACAAGATATTATCAAACTCTTCACTAATGTTGTGTAGTTTTGTTGATGCTAGTAGTAGTAATCTCATTCATATTTGACTCACCTAAACTTAAATGTTCATTTTACGTTACATATTATGATTTTACGTTAAATAATTACTTCTGTGATCAATATGTAAAGTAAAACTTTGGTTCACTTTTTTGAGTGCAGCAAAGATATTTTGCGCACCAATTACACATTAGATTCCTTTCTTGAAAAATAACCTCTTTTTAGTTCTTGAATTTTCAACAGTTGACACTAGCGTTAATATTTTGGTTTGGGTTTAACTAGTAGATTCAACAAAACACTGTTATTTTTGCAAAATCTTTGGGTGCATAACTATAATCACTTACCTCATCATGAAACCCTTTTAAATTGACACAACTTTTAGGTTAGGTTTACAACAACAGTAATATTATATTGTTCATGATATTGAAGAATAAGGTGTGCGTTCAAATCATATAAAAAAATAAAAAAGCTTATCTACTAGCTAGTACTGTATTATAATTATCAAAAATTGTAACTAATCAGCCAATAGAAAAAAAGCTGAATAAAACTTTTACATAAACTGGAGGATTGTTTACAAAGTAATATTTCAGTACCAAGGGATATAATCTTAAATTTTAAAAAGAAAAATATACAAAGTTATAAGATTAAGATAGCGGGGTATAGTTAGGAAAATTGTTCTATTGTTTTATTAGGTAAACGTTTTTACCAGAGATCAAGTTTGAATCAAAAAACTGCCACAAACCTGTTTGGACCATGCATTCATGAGCATGAGAGTAAAATGATCTTCAAGGAAAAGTGCGAGGAAATGGGGGGGGGAGGTACAGCGCCAAGGTCAAGATTGCAGACCACAACACCTGAGAATTAAATATTCAGTCCAGCTGATGATAAGTTGATAATACAAACAATTTGAACACTAGAATAAATGAGGCTATGTTTGGAGAAGAACTTCCAGATTCTTTGAGACATACAATAAGAAATGCATTTATATTTTGATAAAGCTGTCACAGTATTTAGAGTATTAAACTAAACATCCAAAAAGTCATGGACGTCCTTTAAAATTATAAAGCTGATACAAGAGATATATTATTGAAAGTAAAAGCACATGCAAACATTCCAAAACATAAAGGGTTTTTTTGTAGTCTACTACATTCTTCTAACTATTATAAAAAAAAAACTGAAAACATATATTTTTTTTGTCAACAGTGTTCTAGCATTGACTATTTTTAGATATCCAAAACTTTTGGATATCTAAAAATAGTCAATGCTAGAACACTGTTGACAAAAAAAATATATGTTTTCAGTTTTTTTTTATAATAGTTAGAAGAATGTAGTAGACTAATGAAGTTCTATACATTTTAATTTTTGGGCTTAGTAGTACCGGTACTATGGATTAGAAAAAATATATTCATAGCAGGAAAGAAAAAAATAAAACCTTTAAATAATTATTATGCACTCTCAATTTAAGCGATAGCTGAATCTTATTCTTAAAGAGTATTACTGTATGAGAGTTGTTTCCTGAGACATTGTTATTTATATATTCTAATAGTTTTTTTTGTTGTAATTCATATTTGATAGCTCGTGATATTTGTTTTTATTATTTCAATACTTTTCTTCACAAAGTCTTATACCCTGTTATATTTTGTATTCTCGACTAATAAATAAATCCCTGTCACATATTGTGATAGCTTTCGTATTTTATGGGTTATAAATAAATATTAGACAACATTCATTACAAATTAATTTTAATAATTTACCTATAACTTTATGTTAACTTAAAGTTATAATATTTATATCACATCACACAAACACATTTACCTATTTACAAAACAGGGCCGCAAGAGATTTTACGGTTTGTGGGAGGGGGGGGGGGGGGCGGAGGAAGAGAAAAAATCTTCCACAAAGAATGTGGAGAGGGTACATTAATCTCTCAGGCCCATAGCACTTCACATGTAAACCTTATACAAAATTGTACTTCTGAGTAAAAATCGTCACATTTGTGTCCTATTATAAAATGCACTATTGAAGGACACTGCGGCAAGATAAATACTGATGATATATTGCATAGCTACTCTATAACCCCCTGAAATTTAATTTTCTTAGTTAAGATAGCTAAACTTTTATAATTTTCCAAAAAAAGTCTTTTAAAATTTTGTCTATTCTTGTTCTTTCAAAACAATTAAATTATTGTGATTTTAATATAATAAAGCACTTGATTTTTGAAAGCAGTTTATTTAATAATAGGTGTAGAATGCAGTTGTCTGCTTGCAATATTGAGCGGAGCTAAATTAATCCAATAATTTTCTAAAGTCAATGCTACATCCGTTTCTCGTAAATGAGATATAGACTTGCAGTATCCAATGTCAATTATTATAAGTCTAGTTAACATAAATGAATTGTCTACTTGCAGGAACCAAAGTCAATGGCACATTTATTTGGATAATGTAAATTACCGCAATTGTCTACTTGCAGTATCCAAAGACAATGGTACATATGGTTTACGCCAAGGGAATGTATACATGCAATATCCAAACTAAATCGTTTCTTTTCTTTTGGTTCACATTAACGTAATTCAAATTTACAGTACCTATTCAAAGTCTGCATTAATGGTACATCTAGTGCACGAAAATGGAAAGTCTACTTGCAGTATCCAAACTCAATGGTAGGCCTCTATATTTGGTTCACATAAATGGAATGGCTATTTAGAGTATTTAAAGTCAATGGTGCATCAGCCTAATTTCGGCGACCCTAATTATTGGTTATTCATTTTGTAGTAAATTATGCTCCATGCTATTAATCCGATTGTTCTTCCAAACAAATGTCATGGTGACCAATAAACCCAAAAGACCCACATGTAAAATTTCTAAAAGTTTAAATTCACCTAGGTAAAGCCCTGTGGTCCAATTTGTACCATTTCAGATTTATACCTTCCCATGATTGGTTACTATGACTGTGCTAAATTTGGTGCAAAATGCTTCAGCTGTTCAGGAGGAGTATTTCAGTATTTGTAAAACAAAAGCAGGAGTGTAGTATAAGAGCTTCGCTCCGCTCAATTATATCTTTAAGACCATCACTTCTAGGCAAAAAAAATGAAAGAAATACCTATTAACAGTAGAGGGAAGCAACTAGCAACCTATGGCCCTAAAGTAAAATGCAGGTCAGAGTGGAGAGGAACCACCCGAACCATTTTGTCTTAACCCTTTTGTCTATTGTGTCACGTAGAGCTGCTCAGACAGATCTCCTGTTCATTTTGATACCAAATTTGAGGTAAATCTGTGAATTTTAACTTGCTATTCTCTGATACTATCATACTAATACTATAGACTAATCAACACCAGTAGACTTCTCATCCCATTGAGGGCTAATTTTATGATTTGTGCTTTACTGTTTTATATAAAGGGAAGACGAGATATTGTTTATCATTAAACTTTGGGTAAAAGAGGTTTTAAATAACTGAAATAACAAGAAACAAATTGTAAACAAAAACACGATCCTAGTGGCGGAACCAGCAGTGAAATTGTCTTCAGCTGATCCCTAAGGATGAGAAATCTACTAAGGGAGTATCATTTCTATATGCTAATACCTAATGTTATCACTCTGTAAAGATTCACAGATTCACTTAAAATTTGGTATCAAATTGAAGAGAGGATTGAAGTACAGTTGTTTATACCATTGGATTTTTATAATTTATTCAACTAAAAGATATTGCACAGAGATAGTAGAGCCAGAAATATGACTCACTGACCAACCCACCATCTGCATCAGCCGCTCCACGCCACACACAATTGACAAGGGATAAGACCATTAGTGCAGTCGCCGTCGACTGGTTCTGCCTCAATCTTACCTGCATTTTACTATAGTCAATAATAAGGCGTCTACTCACCCGACCAACTAAACAGGCCCTTCCTGTACAAAATACTGATTTCACCATCTCACAGATTTGGTACATATTTTTTATGTATTTCCTCAAATGTATAACAATTTGTGTTTTACTTTCTACAACTAAACAACCTATTTTCTAAAACTTTGTACACCTATCCTATTATATACTATAAAGTAAAAACAACAAACACATAATAGTATTCTCAGTGAAAACTACTGTAAAAACAATCAGTTTGAATGCTAAACAAATATATACAATGTACATTAGATTATAAATAAAAAATATTGATATAAATACAACTCCTAATATTATATTTAAGTGATTTGTGTTGCAATCTCCTAGCGTTCAGTAAGGCCTTCCTCGATTATTTCTGTATTTCGCCAGTTTGGTAAAGTTGTGTCCTTTGGACCTGCGATTCATTCTGTATCGATTAAATTTCGGTGGAGACACGGGTCTGAACTCTGCAAATAAACAATTAAACTTCAGTATAAGGTGAATCGGTGACTCAACTGATAATTAATGAGTTTGTGATCCAGTCAGTGAATTGATCTATGCAAATTCTTAGTTGCTCTTTGAAATAGACTCTCCCAATCAGTCATTTAACTTACATGACTACTCTGGGTAACCCATGCCTATTATAGGTAACTATAGAATAGAGTGAAGAAATGCATATCCTAGAATTACTTAACAATGTAGATTAGAAAGGTACTGGTTATGATAAAATGCTACACTGTTGTGTTTGCTTATAAACAAGGGTAGTGTATAATGTAAGTTAATTACTCAGTAAACGTGTGAACCTTGAATATTCATGGAGAGAAATAATTCTTGTTGGGTAAAAATCCTTTTATCTATTTATTAGGCCTGCTTACCATATAGGCTTACCTAGTTAATGGCAAGTAGGGCATGCACAATAAGCTTTAGTGATGTGCCAGGAACCTAACCCCTCCCCCCCCCCCATAAAATACAATATAAATTACCTTGAGATCTTCTGTCTTCAGGTATGTCAAAGAGACTTGTCAAATCTTTGGGACCAGTCGATGGTTTTGGTCTTTGGTCAAATTGCTGCTTAGTATTATTATCCCAAAGTTGATTTTGATTTACATTATCATTTAATTGTGGCCTTCTGTAGAACAGATTGTCAGAATCTTTTTCAATATTTGCCGCCCGAGCTTCATCAGCGTTATGCTGTGCAGTGTTGTGAACACCAGAATCTCTGTCTCTGGAATCTGGTCTCCTGTAAAATAAGTCGCCACCATCAACCTCTGGCTTGACTCTTGGACCATCATAAGGATTTCTATACTGTGAAGTATCGTGAGCGTCAAATCTCGAGTATGAACTATGTTGGTCATACTCATCTTTGACGTAAGAGTCTTCAAAAGATCTATTGTAATCATCAGTACTAGATCGTCCCTCGGATTTAAAGTTGACGTTACTAGTACCAGGAGTTTCCCTTGATAAAGTTCTCTGACCCTCAGAAACACTGTTTGAAGTTTCACTTTTTATGCTTAAATTCATTGTTTCATTAGAATTACTATGTTGAAAATCCCCAGAATATCTTCTTTGGTCATCAGAAAAACTGTTTGGAGTTTCTCTATTCATGCTCGAGTTCATCCTTCCACAAGAACTATTGCTTTGAAAATCTCGTGGATTCTCAGTGAGTCTTCTCTGATCACCAGAAAAACTAAAGCCACGATTATCTAGAGATGGCTTGTTATATTTTGCTGCAGGTTCGCCGCCTTCTTCATCACTAATTCCCTGATCATGCTCCCTCTTAATGGTTGTATTTGAAGTTGTTACATTTTGCTGACCACCTTGCAACACTTTTGATAAACGCTCACTCAAGCTGAGCTTCTGGTCTGGATCTTCATCGTCGTCAATATGTGTTTTCAGTGGTTCATTTGGCTGTGGTTGAATTTCCTGGAGATTAGATTTTGGTGTATAAACAACTTTTGGTTTGGGTGCAAAAAAATGAAATCTGTTATACACATCATCTCTTTTTCTTTGAGGATTTGTTGAGATGACACAATTTTTGTTCTGGGGCTTTTTAGGAGGGTCTGGTGGCGCCGACTCTATAAACTTCATAACCCAACTTGGTTCGTTGTCACTTCCAAGCGACACACTTTCTACATCACTGCCAGGAGTTTGTTGATTTGAGACTTTTGTCTCTGTTTTTGCAGGAAAGAGAGAATTTTGACCGCTGTTGGCTTGTGGATTGTAGAATTGGCTTTGGGACATTCCTTGTGGCATCTGAGAAAATTCATGTGGCCTTTGGGGCATTCCTTGTGGTCTCTGAGGAAATGCATGTGGCCTTTGGGGCATTCCTCGTGGCCTCTGAGAAAATGCATGTGGCCTTTGGGGCATTCCTTGTGGCCTCTGAGAAAATGCATGAGGCCTTTCGGGCATTCCTCGTGGCCTCTGAGAAAATGCATGAGGCCTTTGGGGCATTCCTCGTGGCCTCTGAGAAAATGCTGGAGGCATTCCTTGTGGTCTTTGGGGCATTCCTTGTCCTTGCCTCTGAGAAAATGCATGTGGTCTTTGGGACATTTCTTGTGGCCCCTGGGAAAATTCTTGTGAAGTTTGGGGCACTTCTTGTGGCCTCTGGGAAAATTCATGCGAACTTTGGTGCATTTCTTGTGGCCTCTGGGGAAATTCTTGTGAACTTTGGGGCATTTCTTGTGGCCTCTGAGGCATTTCCTCGATAGGCTTACCCATGTTTGTAGTTTTAATTCCGTTACAGGATCTGGAAAAATATGATTTCCATTATAATTGGTGTTATTTGTACTAACAAAAATGAGGCAACTTAAAATAAAATTTAAAATGCTAAGATTAAAAAAACTAAAATGGTACTAAATAAAAAAAATAAAAAAACAGATTAAAAAAATTAAAAAATATTTTAAAAAACCCACATTAAAAAAAACGGTATCAGCAATCCTTTAATATGGGTGAGTGGTGGGAGTTATACATTTTATGTGTTTTTTATGGGAAAATAACATAAGTAGGCCTAACAATAACTTTTGAGAAATAATTTTTTCAGGAACATACTAATTTGAATGAATCCCGGTTTTTTTTTATAAATCCAATTTTTTTTAAATTTTATAGTTTAGTAAATCGAAAATAACATCAGTTATAATAACTTGTGACCCGTATTTTTTACGGGAATGGTAATTGTACCATTTTATTCAGAATTCAAGGAACCATAACAAACTAAATTTGAATCAAAACCGGGTTTTTCCACAAATCCGATTTTTTTTTTGTACTTTATGGTATTGTTATGGGGAAAATAACATAAGTTACAACAATTTTTAACAGTAATTTTTACGGGAATTGAGTTTTTACCACTTTGTTCAGAATTTAAAGGGCTATAACATAATAAATTTGAATTAAAAGGTTCAGGCTTTTTTTAGATAGTTTGGTTTTTTCAGTATTTTATGGGCTTTTATTGGAAAGTCGCCATTAAAAATCAAAATTTCAAAAAGTGAAAAAACGTTTGGAGATATAGTACCGTAGACTCCCTCTTATCCGGACTCCTTGGGACCGAGGCCAGTCCGGATAACGGTTTTCCGACTAAACCGACGTCCCCAAAAACTCGTTAAAATGGACTGTTTACTGTGACATTCGACTTAAATTTAGGAGAGCATTGTATTTAGACAAGTGATCACTGGTCTCAAATCTTTCCCACGAGAACAGTTGTTTCAGTACTGCCCACTTCCTGCCGATCTAGTCCGGTTAAACCAATGTGCTGATAAAAATTGTCTGGTTAAAGAGATGTCATTTCCGCCGAATGTAGTCCGGATAAGAGGGAGTCTACTGTAATCATTATTGAAACAGCAACAAACTGGGTTTAGCAAACATTGTGACCCTCAGAATGGCCACAAAATACGCTAATTTTATAATTGAAAATTCAATAAAAACGTTTTGAGTACAACACTTAAATATACATACTTTGATGGTGGTCTGATGAGTTTATATTTCTCATTAATCTTAGCATTGATTAAAAGCTCCTCAAGTATGTCTTTGGGTTTTCTCTTTTTGTAGACACACAGAATATGGCTTGTCCCAATCCATCTGATGAACAAACCCATCTGCTTTGCCATGCTAAAAATGAAAACATAGCCTATATGAGCTAAAAATATGTGAAAATGCAAAAGATACTACATATTTTATTTTGTTGTTGCCAAAACAAGTGAGATGTTTATAAAAATAACAGATAAGTGTTAATGTGCAGCATTCATGATAGGTAAGCCAGTTGATCTGACAGAGAGGGACTCAATTGAACAAACCCCATAAGGACAAAAATCCAGTACAACACTGTAAACATTGGTAATTACCTTGAACATCCCTTCCATCACCTTTAATCTCATTCTTAGCATCGATAGTTTTTTCCTCCCTCCTCATATTAATTTGGCGTTACATTTTTTTTAGTCCATCACTATAAATTAAAAACTGTGTGTGATAAATTATGTGAGCATTTGAACATTTAAAGTGCACTAGAGACCTAACTATACGAGCTTCTGTGTTAACCGAGGCACATCTTGAAGGCAAATATTTTAAAATTGTGTCAAATCGGAGTCTGGCACATATTGGTATAAGTCTGTAGAGGATGGAAGAGTTTGGCCAAGGCAATTGCAATTGCAATCAATTCAAAGATGGCGATGAACCTTATACGGTAGCTAGACCGATGGATTCCCAAAATCTTTGACAAACATGATATTTAAAAATACCCCTGCAAAAGCAAACCTGCAGACCAAGCGAATTGCTACTAGCTGATATATCTCACTAAAATATCTCAATGAAAATGTCCTACTTATTCCCTACTACCATTAGCTTACCAAGTAATTAGGTTTGCTACTACACAGAAGATAATAAGTTGTGTTTTTTTATTCAAATGTTAATAGCTTAGTATGGAATAAACAAATTTGCTAAAATTTGATCAAAATGTGTTCATAGACAAGCAAACTACAACAGTTGATTTATTATCCATATTGTTAGGTGTCAACATTATGCTTCTCCACATGTTAGGCTAAGTAAGTAATGAATTTGCTAAACAAACTCATTTATCGAGATATTATTTCAATTTTAAAATAACTTCACTATCAATCTACCTTATAATTTATTTCAGTCTCTCCAATTTGTGAATTTTTAGATCTTGTGTACTTTAAATCAACAAAAACTAACAATGAGGTTTACAACTTAGATCCTGGAAAACTTTATTTGTTAAACAACAAAAAACCTAGAATTAACTCGTCCTTACTCACTCAGAAATTTGCTTCCTTTCTTCTCCTGAGTATTCATCACTAAAATACAGATCTTCGTGACAAGACTTTTTGAAGTTTTTTATAATGTGGAGAGGTGTTCCGAATTGTTTGCCTGCAATCCTACATTAACAAATATTCTATAAATATAAAAATATAAATTGCAGCCTATTGCTATGTTGTAGCTGTAGTTTAATGATCAGTCTTCAACATTCATAAATACAATAGCCTTCATCAAAGAACAGTAATTAATAATAATTATCATGGTAAGCTTTGAGTGGGAGTAGTTCTTCAATAGAGAAAGATCTTATTAGAGAATTCTTTAGGGACTTTTTTAAAGATAGATAGACTTCAAACCACCTGGCCACTCGATTCTCACCCAGATAAAAAAATTTCCAAGGGCCTATTCATTAACTTTCAGTCTTACTAGGTGTTGCTGCTTACTTAAAATCACTGCCTTCCTTTAATTTTAATTAATCACATGCAAATTCAATGTTGAAATACATTTAACAGCTGGTTCACATGAGTGTAAAACGCGCATTGGCCAAATAGTCTACCTTGGTGTGCTTTGAACCAACATCGCCAAAACGCAGTGCTTGAAATTTTACTTTAAATGCCACGTTTGCTTCTAGTTCCATAGTCGCACTGGTTCAAATAACACCTTGCGTCTACCACTGTCATGTTAACGGTTTCACATTTTGCTAACGTGCACTCAACGTGGCATCTATTGTTTTCATGTGGGGGAGCGAGCTGGCGTAGTGGCTAGAGCGCGGGACTTCGGTCCGTGAGGTCCCGAATTCGATCCCCACCAAGTCACCAATGGATTTCATCTAAGTGATAATGCCGCAACCCCTAGGTCTAGCCTGAAGTAATGTGAAAAACAAACCCAGGCTCGTGTCTAGCGTCCTAGGACAAAAAAAAAAAAAAAAAAAATGTCCTCATGTGAACAAGGTGTAACTAAGGAAGTGTCGATCCAATAACTAGACATTGGGATCAGTATCGAGAATCAGTTGTCAAGAATCAATATCGATACTCGACAAGTATGTGAAGATCGAGTATTGATATAGTACTAATTTATTACTTGTTATTCTTTTACTACGTTCCTGCTGTAACCACTTTTGTATGAATATTTAGCCATCTTGTTAATATTTCGTTCATTTTGTAAGCTGGTGTAAACCGTTGAGAAATAAAAAATAAATATGGGTGTCCGTGGGTCACGAGCACTGGAGATGATGCGGAAGGCAGTGATAATGTTTCTGCGACTAAGAAAGGTATTTAGGATTTTGCAGTGATCACGGACGACGATGAAGAAGTCTCCATGATCATGGGAAATGATCACAACATTACCTTGAGCTCTGCTTGATCAAAAATTTTCAGGCTGTATCACTGTATTGTTCTTAAATAAATAATAAATAAAAAGGCCTTTATTTACAAGCGAGTTTCATATAAATGATTTTCAAACTTACTCAAGTCAAACTAAAACTAAACAAACCTAATATATACAGAAATATAATATAAAAAATTCATTCTTGTAATTATTGGAAGGAAAAAATGTTCTTAGTTATAGTAAAATTTCTTTTTGATATTTGTATCATCTTTTTTTGCATTTTATTTTTAAATGGTATTTATTATTTATTTAATATGTTTAGAAGGATTGGGATTTGAATTGGCTTTGGCTGAGTTTTTCATTGTTATATCAATATTATTTTAGTAACTTTGAAAACACTCCATTAAACCTAAAATTTTTCGTAAAGACAGGAATTAATTGGTCTACCTAGTTTAACCAATCTGTAGAGAAAAATTTGTATAAAAATAAATGGTATAGGTATCGGGAATTGATAAATTTTGGTATATAAACAAATTTATATAAATCACAAAACAGGAAAAAACACTAACCTGTAAAGATTGGTCTGGCGTTTGGCGTTTGGGTTTAGAAGAAAATCAGGCGTTTCTCGTGTCGTACCAAAATAAGATTTCTTTGCCTGAAAATTACAATTTCATTTAAGTAAAAAATGAAAATACAAATATGCAAAACTACAACTATCTCCTTTTAACGTCCACACATTTTACAGTAGAACTCCCCAATTAGATGCTATTCTGTCTTAAAAATTTGACTGATAACTTTTGAAACCGAGACATCACTATTATTCTACTGAAACTTTGTTGTAATCAAAAGTTAGACTCAAAACAAGTCACGTATGCTTTAACAAAAAATTCCCAGATTTACAGTCATTCAATCAGCATCCAAAATCAGGTTCATAAGCGAACGAACCACTGATAGTAATATGGTTGAAGTTTACAAATAGTAAAATCACCTTAATTGAATAACAGCATTTACTTAGGTTCACGATTGCATTTTCAACTGCTTTCATCTTTCCTGATTTTTGTCCAAAGCCTCTACTTCTGCCAACGACATTTCTATCAATCATCGCTTCGAAAAAACTGAAAAACAAAAGTCATGTATTAGAAAGTAGGCTTGCACAATCAAAAGTACGCTAATGAAAATAGCTTAGGTTAAAAACAATAGTACATGAGATCTGTCCTTAAAATCTACTGTTCAATGGTGCCATTAAAACTGGACAATCCTCCAAAAGGATCCATAAAAGGGCAATAATTTCCAATGTGATCCAGGGTTTTGATATTTACCCCCCCCCCCCCCCCCCCACAAATGTGTGTGTTAGTTCACCCAGACCTTTCAAAACCTTTTCAAAAGAGTTAATGTGTGTTTGTCAAAAACTTTTTTGTGTCTTAGAAAAAGACATTGATACATACTATGAAGTAAGAAATAGACCGATGTCAACTATAGTTGACTAAATAAATATTATGTACACTCTAATTGATCAGAAAAACTAATAGAAAAGATTGGGCTGTGGGTTTGTTTGATTCAATGAGCTTGGTCGAAATGGGAAATCTGGCCTGCAGGTTAGAGTAGTGACTAAAAGTCTGGTGTCAGCTATAGTTGACGATCGGTAGCGAACGTGTTTAATACATAAGCGTAATCCTCAAAATCACAATTGAGCGAGAGAATAGTTTTTATTTCAACTTAATTTTTTTTCATCTGTAGAGTAGTCTTGTGTAAGGCAAGGCAAGGGGATGGGCTCTCCCCAATCCTCTTCAACCTAGCAATAGAAGAAGCTCTACAAGAAGTGGCAACAATAGATAAGGGAATTTCAGTTGGCTCCAGAATTAACATATTAGCGTTTGCAGACGATGTCGTCATTTTTGCAGAAACTTTAGAGGACCTACGCCTACTAACAAAAGTATTTATGGACAAAACAGGAGAATTAGGACTAAAAGTAAATTATGGGAAAACCAAATATATGCAATTTTCAAGAAATCAAGGTATAGCCCAAGACCCACTGCAGGTAGATAACCATAAATTTGAAAAAGTAGAACATTTTAAGTACTTAGGGGTTATCTTATCCAGGGAAAACAAAGAAGAAATAGAAATTCAAAATAGACTAAATCTGGCAAACAGATGTTTCTACGCTTGCAACAGACTGATGTCCTCTAAGTTACCTACTGTCAAAAAACACCAAAGTTAGAATTTATAAGACAATAATAAGCCCAGTATTATTATACGGAGCTGAAACATGGAAACCAAATAAAAAAGAAGAAAAGAAGTTATTCACATTTGAAAATAAGATTTAAGAAAAATCTATGGACCAATTTATGAAGGTGGTGAATGGAGGAAGAGACACAACAGAGAACTGAGAGAACTCTACAGAGATCCAGATGTGGTGTGTGAATTTAAGTGTAGAAGAGTTAGATGGGCTGGACATGTTTTACCAAGAGAGGAGCAAAATAAGTTAAAACTAGTTTTACTAAGAAATCCCGAAGGAAGACGACCGAGAGGAAGGCCAAAACAAAAATGGTGGAGCCAAGTAAAGAAAGACATGGAGCAACTAGGAGCAACTGAGGAGGATGCAGAGGATAGAGCAAGATGGAGAGGCTTTGTTGGTGCGGCCAAATATCTTCTTAGATATGCATGGCCCTGAGAGTAAGAGTAAGAGTAAGTAAGAGTAAGAGTAGTCTTGTGACATGGACATTGATAAAACTAATTTACTTCAAGAAATAATGCAGCAGTTTTCATTGGACGAGGTGAGAACCAACATATCTTCTCTGTGTTCTCTCCCCGTGGCGAGGCACGGACAGAAAAACTAGTTAATAGTCTGTCAAAAGCCCGTAGGCAAGAGGGAGAGTTCACCTACATCAATCCGACATGGTTTCTCTTCTTCTCTATGATAAACTCCTCTGTGTCCGGGTTATCCCTCACCGAACAGAAGAGTATTTCTCTCTTGTTCACCAGCTCGTTCCATTCCGTGAAATAATCCATGAGAATAAAGTTATCAGCAATCCAAGGGCTAATCACGATATCACCTTCATCTGCGGTTGAGTCTTCATTTAAGGTACCTACAAACATGTACATTTCATGTAATAAAATTAGATGATGAAAGTTAATTTGGTTACCAAACAAAAGTTCCTCACATCACGGATTGTATTGCTTAAGTAAAATAGATCTTTTAAAAATTCAACGTAAATACCTCATAATTGTCAATCAGTTGAACAGACAGAATAGTAAAATTTTCAGTCTATCTTAGGAAATAGTTGTGATCTCAATTTTAATGTGTCTTTTCGGAATGAGTACTGAATTTTGTTGTTAGTTTATTTTTTAATTCTTATGACTAATTTAATTTAAAATAGCTAATTTGATAATACCTAGTCTTTTTTTACTTTTACGAGGTTATTCAAAATCAAAACCATAAATGTGTCAATAACAAAAATTTTTGATTCTTGAAACCGATAGATAAAAAATCAATTCTCGATACTGGTAGCCTACCAGTTTTTAACAAATTTTACCACATGTTCTATAGCTACTACAGCAGCTCCTGTCTTTATTTCCTAACATAGGCTAACACTTTTTGGGTTAAAAAAGTTTTTTTTTCAATTTGTAGCCAATCAGATTCAACTCATTCCAAACACATTGAATAAAAACAAAAAACAAAATTGTCCCTTACTGTAATAATATATACAGTGAGTCTTCATCTTACTGTATAGATGAAGATCTTTAGTACAAAAGTAAAACTAAATTTTTATCATAACCGATGAGATGCTATAATAGCAACTACACATATTTTGAATAGGAACATGTCAATTCTTGATGTCGATTTTCAATACCACCGAACCGATTGAAGCCTATACTAATTTAACACTTGGACATTTGTATCAGCATCGTGAATCAATCGTCAAGAGTTACTGATACCCAACGTGTCTTCAAAGAATGCACAATTGAAAAAAGGACACTTTGCCGTGATTGCATATGACGATGATAATGATTTCATGATCGCAGGCGACTCGGATGATGTCGATACGACTGCATGTTCAAGATTTTGCTGTGATTGTGGAAGACGATGTTTGAAGATGTTTCAAGGGACAAAAATAAAAATATAGTATTTTTGTTCAAGTGGAATTTGTCTAATGTTTAAAAGTTATATCAACTCCAAACATGAATCATACCTGTTGCAATGGCTTTGGGTATAACAGCTACCTTTTGCATTACTTCAAAATTATCAGCATATCTGAAACAAATGGAAAGAGGGTCAGAAAAATACTCCATGTTAAATACTTATTTTTTTCTGAGATTTCAATTGATAAATTCCTCATATATTAAGTACGGTAGGTCAGAAACTAATGCTTTGAGTGTGAATTAAATGGAGAATACTTTGTCAGCCTATCAGGGGCTACGGAACCCTACTGTTATTTGCCCAAAGCAGGATAGCTTTCCTTGATTGATGGCATGGGTAGAATGATCTCAAGATGAAAGCACGCTGAGTATTAAACTAAAAATTACTATCCGTGTTTTTTAAGTGTCTTTACAGTCTGGCATTTTATACAAAAAATAATTATTTTTTGGTTAAACCATTAATTTACAATCATGTAGGCTACTTAATATTTATGTTAAAACAACTAAACGTAATTTCTGAATAAATTATTTGTGATTTTTTTTTATCGTGCCATTTCACTGCCACATCTTATATGCAGGATGGTTAACCCATTTTTAATAATACTACAGGGCACCAAACGCTGTACAGACTCTACAAATGTTCAACAGCGAAAATGACTAAGTTCTCGTAGTGAATGATTCACCATTAGATAATGAGTGACACACTGGGATTCCGGTCAGAGTCGAAGTATTCAAGTAACAATACAATCGAGGCTTTAATACTAAAATAATCTGAAACTACTAGAAATGACAATAGTAAAGGTATTTTGAGTCAAATTAAGTAGTTACTTGTCTCGTGGTCCGACCAGACGGCATTTGATGTTCTGGCCACCGTCATTCAAGAGGCCCCGTAGTAAAGCGTTTGTTGGTGTTACATAATGTAACTTCACTGCCTTGTTGGAGCAGCCCACTAGAGGGGTGAGTGTCATTCCTTTCTTTTGACAGACTCTACAACACAACATGTCAGTTAAAATACATACAATACTCTATGGAAAACATGGCTCGTTGTGGTTAAATACAATGGTCTTTAGAAAAAATCAAACTTCATATAATTATTTGCAAATCCACACGGATAAAGCCTTCCATTGACCAATTAGAATAAAATCGATCCAGAAGAACTGTAGATTTAGCTGTAGTTGAACAAAAACATAACTAATTCAGTATTATCTCACGACTATTAATTTTGGGGTTGCTTAGTTTTATTGCAAATGTTCAGCTTTTAAATGGTGAGGAAATAAAAAATATGAAAACCCCCATTTTAAATGTATTCCTTATGGAAAACATGTTTATTTTTCACTATAAATACTAACATAAACTAACTTTCATAGTTATTTGCAAATCTACAGAAAGTGAGCATTCCAATGAGCCATTAATAATACAATCGGTCCAGAAGAACTGTAGATTTAGATGTACAAAGATTTTTTAAACCGAATTATTTTAAGAGTATATGAAAAACGGAGAAAAAAATTTAGCAGTTAACTACAAAAAGATCAGTTGACTTAATTTCAGCAATTTTACCTTTTACAGAATTAACCATCAAACATAGGCTCAGAACCGATCTTTTCCCTGTTTGATGTCCCCAGAGGCGAAAAACGCCATTCGTTCAAATTCATATACGATACATGTTTTTTAAGTAAGTACCGTTTTTAAATTTCTCCGTTCCGGAACTGTGATTGGGATTTTTGACATTTGTGCTGTGTATGTGCATCTATTGGCAAGCCTGCGCCAGAAATTCGGCAACAATCGACCGTGTTTACATCCGGTTTCGAACATTCAAAATGGTGCCGCCAATTGAGACTGCCGCCAAGTGTGAAGTGCACGCTGTAATAGATTTTTAAATGCTGAAGGTATGAAAGTCATTGAAATTCATCGACAGATTAGTGAAGTGTTTGGCGAGAACTTTATGAGTGTCTGAATGGTAAGGGCATTTACGATTGGCAAGTGGGTAAGGGCATTTAAAGACGGCCGCACCAACGTTCACGATGAGCAACGCACCAATTTATCAGTAATGACAGATGGCCAGCGGCCTCCCAGTGCGTTGCTCATCATGAACGTTGGAGCGGCCATCTTTAAATGCCCTAACCCACTTGCGTACCATTCCGTCACTCACAATGTTCTCACCCAACACTTCACTAATCTGTTGATGAATTTCAATGACTTTCAGACCTTCAGCATTTAAAATCTAATTACAGCGTGCACTTCACAGTCGGCGGCAGTATCAATTGGTGACACCATTTTGAATGCTCGAAACCGGATGTAAACACCTCCGATTGTTGCCGAATTTCAGGTGCAGGCTTGCCAATAGATGCACATACACAGCACAAATGTCAAAAATGCCAATTGTAGCACTGGGACAGAGAAATTTAAAAACGGTACTTACTTAAAAAACATGCCTCGTACATTTAGCAAAAGTCAATGCCACCAGTCAAAGAATAGGTTGACTTAAACTTTTATTGACAAACTACTACCAATTAGCTTATTTAACATTCCAATTTTCTAGATATTATTTCTCTTGAACTAAAAAAGTAGCCTACTTACTTTCTAATAGCAGCTCTGTCATCTTTCACGATGTTCAGAACAAAAAGATCCGCTTTGGTTCCGTTCTTGATGTGATATTGGATGTAACTCATCAGTTTGTTGTAGTTTTCAACATAGTCAACTGGTCCTGTTACTGGCTTGGGGAACTCAGTTCCCTCGGAATTCTTTTTCAAGTATACTGTACTAAAACATGCAAATAACTTATTATTTTTTGCAGTGGATAAACAATATTGCATAACAGAGGTGATTACAAAAGTGAAACGGTCAACGTTAAACACTGTGTCCACTAATACAATGAACATTTCAATAGATATTTTGTATTAAAGGGTGTTAACCAAGAATACGACACAATTACAATTGTGAGCCTAAATCAGATTCACATTTTACCATCCATATATAAAGTACCCAACCAATGAACTTTTGAGAAAACTAAAAGTCACAACCCAATCATAAACTTAAAATGTTTGTCATGACGAGAAACCTTGCGCAAAACTATCTATTATTTCATAAATTGCCCTTTAAGGTCGTAATTCCTTTCCAAAGGGAACTTTCCATAACTAATGTTAAAAGTACCTCAACTGCACTTATTTGTTTGTAATTCTTTCAATTAAATACCTAATTAAAACCAGATATCATTATTTGTTTGTATTACTGTATTCTGTTTTGTTTATTTCAGCTTAACTTCGCCAATCAATATTTTATTAATACTTTGAAGTCAAAAGGAGTGAAGCCCGTGGGTAACAGCTAGTTGACAGTCTTAAATAAATACATACCGATAAATGTGTTTAAGGTTAGGATCCGGATTGAGAGCACAGTCCGGTACTTGGTTCTTGTTTATATACTCTGGATTATTCTGAAATAAAACCCAAAACATACTTTCAGAGAGGTGGTTATCAATTTATTTGAGGACTAAACCATGCAGTAACTGTTCCAAAAACTAAAACTTAAGTTGAAGTCGTAAATACTTTTACATGTTAAGATTGGATTTCATTCGAGGCATACCAAAAAATAAATTGGTATCAAGTGTACATGTACAAGTCATTAGGGCGATGTACAAAAAATATTTACATGCAACAAAAGGAGAATTGTCAGTGTAAAAATGTTCAGATTAAAAGACATCCCAGGAATAATGGTGATATATACATCAAACCTACAAAATATTCACATTTTTATACAGCAAGCAATGTTTCTTGTCTAGAAATTAAAAAATAGGTAGTTAGTGCATTGAGCAACACTTAAGATAACATACTTGTGTCAGTATCCACACCAGATCGCTATGAAAATTATAATCACAATGGAACTGAAATAATAGTCTAGTACCTATTTACACGATCACTATGTCAAGACTCACTATATGTGTCAAACGCACCCACGCAGGCGTTCCTGATAGTGAGAAAGATTACAGTAAAAGCCCGCTAACCAAGCATCCGAAGATCCGTCACTTTCAATCATCCGATTTTGTCTAAAAGGCTACAAATATTTGTCAATTTAGTTTTAAGCCGTATTAGCAAGTTTGTCACAGTTAAGAGCTATCGGTGGAGTCAAGAAAAAGTCAAGACAGACACTTAGTCGATCGACAGGTGCTAGAAAAATTGTATTAGTCTTGCAATAACGGCTATTTTGAGAGGACAATTGGTAATACGGCATTTTCAATAAACCGGCACTGCCAAAGTCACGAAGGTGCCGGATTAGGCAGTGTCTATACTGTAAACGAAAATGTAATATTTTGTGATTCATGGTACAAATTTCCATAGAATGATGTCATCTGGAGGATTATGATCGAAAATTACTAGAAATCCCATTTAGAATACTCAAACTGCTGTTATGGCGTAACAGTCAGCTAAAATTTGATTCACATGTGAAATTGGTGACTAATTCCTTGTCGAGACACCGCATCCCACGATCCAGCAAAACTTACCCAAATAACATAAAAAGAGTCTAGCAGCTTGTCGAACAAACGTTGAACAGCTTTCTCTTCGGCATCGCAATGCAGTCTACCAGTTCCTTCTGACAGTAAGACCTGAGTCTCAGGGGAATGTAGTCCACCTTGCATTATACCACACCAACTAGAACCATTAAAAGTTTAGTTACTATTAAATTTTCATATTTCATAAGAATATGTGTATGAACATTAATTATTGACACAAAGACCTAACTAAAAATAATTGTAAAGTAATGAAAATGTTCTTATAGTGAATCCCTTACGTAGGGAATAAAAGCCATTAAAGGAAGGTCTCATGGAAAGACCTGGACCCAGGACCGAATTGCTTAATTTTTTGTTTTCCTATTCCCAGATGACAAAAACACCATGCGTTTAAATTTACATGAACATATATGTACGTTAGCAAAGATCAACTAAAGCAAAAATGATTCCAATTTTGATTAAATTTGCATTTTGAAATGTACAGTATGTGCAAACCCACATTCTTTCAAACGAGTTTGCCAACCAGCATGATCAGGGGTTTATGGGGTAAGAATTAGTTTCTCAAAATACTCCCGCTGCAGCAAACCTGCAGACTAAGCATATAACAATTTTGTGTGGAATGAATGCCATGATTGCTAAGTCTATCAAGAAACCAAATAAGTCACGGAATCCCCAGCTTACGTACAACCTTAGGTAACCTACTACTATTCTATAAGAAAAGAACACTTAGGCCTAGTTATAAAAACATACATACCACTCTTCTTGGCCTGTCACTTCGTCAAAGAACGTCTCTCTCTTTTTTAAGAGAAGGCCATAACCAAATTCTTTAAAACTGGCTGACAATGACCCAAACAACTTCTTATCTTCTTTTGCACTTAAGTAGATAACGAGATTAGGGAAAAGTTGTTTTAAGTCAGCCTCCTGTTGATCCATGGTTCAACAATTTGCCTTAACCTATATAGGCCTACGGTACTGTGTTATTATCTTTTTACATGATCTTGGTTACAATCGTAGGCCTACTAAGCATGCTCATACTCTGCATTAGTGACTGATTTACGGTTGAGCATAACAATTATCCTGAAACAATAACAGAATATTAGTCTAGTTAACTATAAGTTGGCATGCACAGTGATAAATAAATATACATTAATTTCAATAATTCAATCTAAAATCTAGCCTAAAACACATACAAATAAACAGTATCAGCAATATGAGACAACATATCTACCATTTAAATTAAATTTTATTACCGTATCATAAACTAAACTGATCTCACCCCAACCTAACCTAGGCCTATATAGACGTACGCCAGAGCAAAATGTTAAAGAGTGGAAGGCGGCTTTCTTCTAGAATTGATTCATAATTATATCAGAAAATCAATAGGACTAGGCATACATTAAAAGAAATGTTTGGATGAATATTTAAATTGAATGAAAATTTCATACGTACGATAATAGGCCTAGGCCTGTATCATAGCTTTGGCTATTGATACAACTAGACATTCCATCCCCTTTAAGTTAAGGTGTTCGCCAGTTATTAGGCCTAATCAAAATCATAGTAGTTTATGTGAGCCCCAGACAGATTATGATGATCTACATTACTGATTTCAGTTGAAAGTCGGAAAGACTTTTTTAATAAGTTGGAACGACTTATTGTGAGCTATGGATAACTTACCGTACTATTGGGGCCCATCAACTAAAGTGTTTAATAACTTAGGGGGCTACCAAATTGATATATATATAGGCCTATATATATATATATATATGTTACACTCAAACTCTGAATTCGGACAATGTCCAAAATTTGTACCCACTTCGCAATGTGGACAATGTGAAATACCCACGTCGCGGAGTGAGCATTTTATTCGGTCATTGGCCAAAGCGAAATGCCCAGACCGTGTTGTGGGTAAACTGATTTAGGCTACTCAAATGCCGAAGTTCAAGCGTTCTTCGGCGATTGAACAAATCCAAAATACCCACAAGGCGGTGAGAACAAAAGTAATTGTCCACATCGGGTTGTGTTGTGCTTGCGCATTTTTGATATCGTTAACTTATTTCATTGTGTTTCACCCACTATTTAATTGTGCAAAAATAGTCTGGAAGTTGCATAAATTAATGAGTCGGTTCATTATAACCTAACCTTTACCTTCCTAATCTAACCTCACTTCAAAACACTTAATACAGTCACGAATCCGCATAAAACCCGACCTACCTTCCTCACATGCCTAAATAAGAACTGATTATTTGGTTTTAAAAATCAAAACAAATTGATTTGATTTCATTCCGCATTAGATCAAATATAGACAGTTTTTTTGCTCTCCTCACTCAGTCCTCCTCACTCCTCACTCATTACGGACCCGTCCAGTCCAGACCACGCCATATTACCATTACCTTCAATACCGCTCAATTATCCTTAGATTCGTAATCCTAACCTTCGTTTACGGCCACTACGGCAACTTAGGAATCTCTCCGACAAAAACTGACTGCATTTTTGGATTCAGCGTTAAAAATACTGTAAGTAGACATATAAAAATAACATCATATCCCAATGTAAATACAGTAAATATTTGCCGTACAGTGTATAAGAAGCTACGTTTAGGTGCTCATCAGATGTATGGTTGGGTTTTATCCTAAATGCATTGTTGTAAGTTAGTAAATATAGGCCTAAGCAGAGAGATTATATCTTATATTATTATATATTTATCACGCCTAAGCCTAAGAAGTTAGATTTCTTTGGTGGTGAAAAATACTTACGTTTATAATTTTCTGCAAGTATGATCATCCTTTCAGCTATGCCACAGTCACAGTCTAACTTAGATACAGTAGGCCCTAGCCTAAAAATATACAAAGAGAATTAATTAACTTATGATGCCTTATTTTGGTTATACGTTTTCCTACCACCACAGTGCCCGACAACGGTTTTTTAAGTTTATAAATTAAATTGTATTAGTATCCTACAACCATTGACTTGGTGTCTATTACATTTATTGTAAAATATTTAATTTACAGACAATAAAGATTCTGTCTGATTCTGACAACTTCACCTATCCCTCACACCACGACCACGACCACAACCACAACCGACAACGACAACCACTCACTTCAGTCACTTCCATTCCACTAGTCCAGTCAGTCAGTCAGTCCAGTCCAGTCCATCCACTTCCTTCTTCTTCTTCTTCTTGCTATAGTTAGCCTTAGTCCCTCCCGTGTGCCCCACCGATAGTTTTATAGTTACTGACGTCGAGTCAGGAGATGAGCCCTGCGCCCTGGCCTACCTTGCGTATGAAGGCGCTACTGCGCTAGTAGCCGTCAGATGACCCTGACGTTAGCGAATACGTTTGTGCGTGCAAGTAACATTTTAATTTAAATGTATAAGTGTCAACCTATTGTGTTAATAGTGTACAGGGTTAATTATTCCGTTAATTATTCCGTTAATTATTGATATTTCAGCAATTTCAAATGTGTGTTTTTTTTAAATTTAAATATGTAAAGTGTATTTTTACATTTACAGAACCATATTATTAATTGGTTAATAGGCCTATACATCAAAACAGAAAATTATAATGAATGTTTATGTTACCGGTTTTGGTTTCATATTTATTTGATTTACGTTTTTATTTAAACAATTATTCTAACTACTCATATTATTGATATTTCAGCAATTTCAAATGTGTGTTTTTTTTTTAATTTAAATATGTAAAGTGTATTTTTACATTTACAAAACCATATTATTAATTGGTTAATAGGCCTATACATCAAAACAGAAAATTATAGTGAATGTTTATGTTACCGGTTTTGGTTTCATATTTATTTGATTTACGTTTTTATTTAAACAATTATTCTAACTACTCATATTCGATAGATTAATACCACTGTTTTAGTACGGTAGTCTACAAACTAAAACACAATGAAAACTGTAAGTTACACAATTTTTATTTACACGAAAACACACATGAACATGATGTGTATTGTTACGAATTAATTACTTACAATTTACATTAATGGAAGAGGTTGTGCCAAGTCCATGTCCTCGTTGTCTTCAGAACCACTATCGTTGTTACCATCCACAGAGCTGGACGAAGATTCGTCACTTTCCTCCCCAAGATGTATGATCATCTCGTCCACAGCTTCTTCCATCAAGCCATCCTTGGCCCAGTAGTCCTTCTCAATATTGATGACATGGTGACAAAAGTTTTTCCATGTGGCATTACTGACGCTATCCAAAGCTTCGATGGCAAGTTCTTGCAGAGAACTTAGTGACATGTTTCCTGATGTATTTCTGGATCTTACATGGTGCTTAACCTTCGACCAGACGAACTCAATAGCATTAAGATCGCACATGTAGGGTGGAAGCCGTACTACTGTGTGTCCGAATTCTGTCAGGAGTTTGTCTATTTTAAATATTTTTTGTGGAGGTTTCAAACGTTGAATTGCTTCTAACAAATCTGATTTTCTGGTGGACTTCTCATCGTAGTTTTCACCATGCCTTTGGAGCCATTCAAGCATTGTTCTTTTAGTGGCCGATTTTGTTGGCACTTTGTCTTCTTGCTCCCCATGATATGGAGCATTGTCAATTACCAGTACGGAATGTTCAGGTAAGTTTGGAATAACTTGATTCCGTATCCATTTATCAAAATTATTGGCGTTCATCTGACCGTGGTAATCACCAGTGGTACTGTTAGCTTTGTAAATCAGTCTTCCTCCAGTTAAAAATCCATCCTCAGAGCCTATATCAACAATAATAAGTCTATTAGATGAATTCATGTCAGACAGCACTCCATCAATCTCATCATTTTGCCAACATTTTTTAAACGTCAAGTTTCCATCCACCCACGTCTCGTCCAGATAAAAGATTTTACGGCCATTCTCCCTGAATTTTTTTATTTCACGTAAATATTTACATCTCCAGTTTACAATATCGTTTCTCTCTATCAAAACCTTCCTCCTGGACTTGCATTTTTTCCACCTGAACCCCATTTCTTTCAGGACACGGCGTAAAGTCCAATCACTCCATCCAAAATTTATCCTTTCTTTTAAAATTGGCAAAATCTTTTTGCAAGTTGGAACCACTTTTTTCTGGACATAAAACTCTCTGATTACATCCAGAATGACACGTCTATCAAAACCATCAATAGTAGCGTTGCGGTGATCAGGTCTTTTTCTTTTTTTTCCAGGGGTACTCAATTTTGAATCAGGTGTCAGCTTCCCTTCCTTTCTGATTCGTTTCACAGTAGCTTGAGAAACTTTGCAGTAATTTGCAGCCCGCTCCGTAGCCTTTGAAATAGGAAACAACAAAGATTTGTCCTTCGCTTCCTGATCACAACACTGGATAACTCCACGAATCACTTCGCGTTCACTACTGTGCACAGTTGAACCATGACTTCTCGTGTTATGCATTTTTAACTACTCGAAAAATAACCACAGACGTAATAACCACTCCGCACTCATAAATGAAGGTTGGAACTAAACTACTCTAAAAATATTAGGGATGGGGGTAAGAGAGGAAGGATGACTCATAGGACGAGTCCAAGTTCAAGGTGAGACAGCGTCGAGTAAAACCACCGTGCAAGTGGTGCATTGCAACTGTACACCACTGACCGTTGTAAAGTAACAAAACAATAGAGAAGTCAATTCACCCAATACATAGTTTTTTTACTGAGTAACGACTTCAAACCTTCTTTCTAAATAACAATGGTATGGTATTCTAATGATATTACAAAATTATATTTCTTTATTAACTAACTATACAACAGTTATATTTGAAACTACTCGTTTGTAAGAAAAAAAAAAAATATATGCTAATTTTTGGTGTACTTTATTTAAGATATTAAATTAAAACACTAGCAAATACATTACGCATATTTTCAATTCAAATTAAAGTGTTTAAATATGTTTTATAACTTATTTTAAAGAATAACACACACTCCCTTTGATATAATGTCTATGTGAGATTCCAAACACTATCTTTGCCTATCTATAAAATTCCTAAAAGAGAAAATAATAATTTTCTCTAAGATTTATCAAATAAATAGTCCATTATTTTAAATATTAGATATAAAGTTAATTATTTAACTTCACTGTTATTAACAGTTATTTCAGTTGAACAGTTTTAGTAGTTTAGTTGTTCAAAGTATTCAAATTGAAGTAAAGACCAACATGAAGAGAAATATAGTTGTATACAGTCCGATTAAAAACTATAAATACCTAAGAAAATGTAGTTTGGTTTCTGCTTTGATCGGCATCTTTTCATTCCAACCACTGTAAAAATTTTTTAAATCAAACATTGATTTTCATCGGTTGTATGAATAAACGCATAACTAAACAAGCTAAATTATTGTGTAACGTTTGTTAACGTGAGTGTTGTGTTTGCCGAAAAATTCAGCTCTAAAGTCGGGTATTTTGTTTTTATCAGACAGCAACGCCCGCAACTAAGACGATACTACGCTCTATACAGCCGTGTTACCACGCCTCAGCCAGGGCTCATCTCGTGCCTCACTGTCAGTAGTTGCTTGCTTTGCTTCTGCTTTCTGCTTGCAATGCAAATTGCACTTCGTCATTCGCCATTTTAAAACGTTTTTATTAGCTCGCTTTCTTGTCCGGTTCCGGTACAAATTTTGCAATCAATTTTATACTAACTTCCCGATGAGCTATAGAGACTTGAAACTTGAAACATAGCTCACAAATGGATGACAATGCAATATTATATCATTTAATTTTCATATTTCCCTTGGGCTACGCCCCATGGGCTTCCAAATTTTCCATGTTTACATTTTCAAAGAATGTAAAATATATCAATTAATTTAAGTCAGCTGTAAATACTAAAATTTTGTCAAATTTAAAACAATAGGTGAAGTTTATTGTAAATTAGCATGCGCCCCACGTTTTTCGTTTTAAATCTTACAAGTATTTTATTCTTTCAACATATTTATAAAATATTTTATACTCTGAACCCCAAAAATTGGTTTGCAAACTGATAAGTTATGTGTGCACATGGGCGTCCATCAAGATACTAGGGAGGGGGCTTGCTTATTTGAGCCCTACCTTTAAGCCCCCACGATATTCACATTTTTACATTTTGCTGTAAACACGTTAAGTTGACAAAGCAAATTTAGGTACAAAAATGTGTAAAACCGACCTAAATTGTGAAGATTTTCTGGGGGTGGACCCCCTTTTCAATACATTTATTCCGTGCCCCCAGCCAAGGCCACACTAAAAAAAACTTAAAAAAAACACTAACAAAGTGTTTTCAGTGTGGCCCCTATTGTACCGCAAGCCTTGAACCAAGCGCTTGCATTTGATGTTAAAATGATTAATTGCATAATTTGCACTTTTTGTTCAAACACTTGATGATATAGGGTAATTTACAAGATGTTTTAGATAGCAGCAGTGTTGGTTCCCCATGTATCACTTTGCCCAATTATATGCCAATTTTGGGACAAACAGTACTTTACTATTTGAATTTCCCCTTGTCTAGCCTTTTTAAATATTAAATATTATTTTCTTCTTCAGATATTCATATGCTATACTACAATTGGTTAAATGGTGAGCAATCAACGATCTTCATAGTAATATACATGACATTTAATTAAATCAAATTCTTCCCTTCTAAGTACATTACTTCTTGTAACTAATTACTTCTAATATAAAAAGGAACAGTCTTACTTTAGTCAGTAGACTTGCAAATATAGCACCGGACTGGTACCCCAGGGCTCGGATTCGAGTTGTCAAATTGATAGCCACAGCACACTTGAAACTCGTTCTGGAAATATGTCCAGAAAATACTAGTAAAAGGTAATCATTATTTTAATATTAGAGCATTTTAAAATATATTCATACCTTTCACAGCATGTGATTTCCTGACCAAAACAATCATGAATAGTACTGTGACAATTGTTACTTTACATTTTAATTTAATAGTTTCTCAAGGTGAAGTTATATTAAATCATCACATAATTATTAATTCAAACATATTAACATTAATTAGCATAGATTGAATAATATTTAATTAATTTTCAATATTT